TTTTTCCTGACTCTTGTTATTTCTAGTAACTTGATTATCCAGTCATGTGACAAATACCTTCCTATAATCTATCCAACCTACATTCAAGTTGTTCTTTCTTCTCTTATAGTTTTCAAAAATCATCTTGTCAGTTGATCTTTTGTCCCTCTGCTGTTTGGACAGTTTCTGTTTCTGTTTTAATATTTCCACTGCTTGCTTGATCTTCCTTGTTTCTAGATGATATTTTTATCAATATTCTTTACTTTTTATTTTTATTTAATATTAGATTTTTATCCTGCCTTTATTACTTTATAAATAATGCAAGACTCAATATACTTAACACTTCTTCCTCCTATTTTTCACACAATCAGAAACCTGTTGGTGGATTGGACTGAGAGAGAGGGCAATTGGCCTAAGTCACCCAGCTGGCCTTCATGCCTCATGTGGGACTAGAACTCACAGTCTCCTGGTTTCTAGCCCAGCATCTTAACCACTAGACCAGGGGTCTGCAACCTTAAACACTCAAAGAGCCATTTGGACCCGTTTCCCACAGAAAACACCGGGAGCCACAAAACCTGAGTGGGCGTGGTCAATTTGACATCACTCACTCCCACAGACACATGATCCTCACCTAGCCATGCCTATCCAGCCAGTCATTAGGGCAGAGAACCGGCTGTTAAAAAACCTGGAACCACAAAACCCTTTTCACATCTCCCTCCCTCTCTCTCCCTCCCTTCCTCTCTCTTCCCCCTCTCTATATCTCTATGTCTCTCTCCCCTTCTATCTCCCCCCTCTGTCTCTATGTCTCTCTCTCTCCCTCTCTCTCTCTCCACCTCTCTCCCCTCTCTCTGAATTTCTCTCTCTGTGTATCTCTCTTTGTCTCTCTCTCTCCCCCCTTCTTTTCCCCCCTCTCTCTGTATCTCTCTCTGGCCAGCTGTGGTTGCGAGAGGAGAAGGAGGGGGAGGAGGAGGAGGAGGATTGCCTGAAGGGAAGCCTCCACCGCGACTCGTGCTCATTCCTCAGCCCACTGGATTTCCAAAAAGTTGCCAAGAAAAAAGAGAAGGAGTAGCGAAGAGCCCCAAGGACAGCTCACCAGGTTGACCCACCCTTGGCTTTCTGAGAGAGAGAGAAAATACAGACCCAGAGAGAGAGAGACAGACAGACAGAGACATAGAGAGAGGGTGAGGGAGAGACTGGCTGACGAGCAAGCGTCATTGGCGAGGGTGCTCCGGCTTTCTCCAAGCCTGACCCCTGGAGTGGGAGTGCAAGGTTTGGTGGGGCCATCCCCCCTTTCCCGCTGCCCTGAGCTTCTTTACTCCTCCAGCGAAGCAGTGCTGCCACTGGCTTCCATTGAAAAGCGTCCTCTAGGCAATGAAAGTCCCCCATGCAAATTTTAAAGCCGTGGCTGGGCACTGCAGGCCCATCTCCTTTTCCATCATCCTCTCCTCCCAGATCCCATTCCCACCCCGCCAGCCCTCGTGTTAGCAAAACCGGCATCAGTTGCAGCCAGGTTGGGCCAGTGTCTCAGGGCGGAGAACAGGTTGCACATCTCCCCAAATGACTGAGGCATGCCCAGCACCAACAAGGGCTGGAAGAAGCTCCAGCAAGAGTGAGGCACTGGAGAATCAGCCTTGGCCGCTTCTGCATCACCCGCTGTCGCCCTTACCTTCTCAGGCCAGGTGAGGAGTGACTGGGAAGGGAGGGTGGGGGGCGGGGCCAGCCAGTGGTGGGATCACACGACAGAAAGTCACAGCAGAGGACCCAAAGAGCCGCAGGTTGCAGACACCCGCACTAGACCAAACGGGGTCTCCTTAGCTTCTTTTCTAGCTTGCTTACCTCTGAATTTAGCATGCTGATCTTATTTTCCAATCTGATCTTCCATTTTGTTGGTACACTGATTTTTGTAAATATTTGTTGATTTTGCATCCAAGATCTTCAGTTATTATTACAGTTGCACTGTACATTAGTTTGTTTCTTACAGTGAGTGGTACTAATGTTCAATATTACAGTATTGGCATCTTTTAATATGTGCTAGCTGGGGGGGGGGGTTGTAACAGGCTTCAATGCAGGCAACATTTTTGTGCTATTTTAGATAATCAGTTATTTGTTTCTGTGCCTCTTGTTTTTAGTTAGAGGATTTTGTTCTTTCTGGGGAAAAAGCAGAGGAAAGGGTGGTTGGTTAGAAATGAGAGTGGTTCAATAGCTATGCTAGTTTCCTCTACTGATTCCATCTGTTTTGTTTCTCCTATCTGAACTATTCTGGCATAGCTTCAATTTCTTTGTCCTGGGTAGACCTTTGTAATTCTTCTAATTCTACTTCTGGGAATGCTTTATATTGTATTATTAATTGATAGCCTCTGTTCTGTTACTTCTGATTCAGGAAGTTGTTCTTTCGAGAACTGGTGCATTCTTTTCAGATATTCTCTTCTCATTGGACTTGATTTGTCATAACGAATCATTATTCCTTTGCTTCCAGTCACTGTATATTTGTGACGGGAAAGTAATTTTACTTCCAATGGTCCAGACCCTGCTTACAAAGGGGGGGTACTTACCTTTGCTACCGGTTCACAAATGTGAGCGTGCGTTCGTGCCCACTCGCTTCGTTCACACGTGCCACCTTCACACATGTGCAGGACCTTCTGCGTATTCGCAGAGCATCAAAAACAGGACATGATGACATCCAGGTGGGTGGGCACAGCCTCCTGCAGCCGCTGCTACCGGTTCGCCCGAACCGGATAGAACCAGCCGAATATCACCACTGCTGCTTACTCAATAACAATAGTTATTTCTCTATATATAATTTATTATTTCACACATCATTGTGTAATCATGGCTGCCAGTTTTTTATTTGGTGTTGGCTTCGTAGCGATTAAGTGTTGTCCAAGATTGTTTAGTATTATATGCAGTGTGTCATTAACACTGGGACCACTACAGCTGGTTTATCTTTATTTTTTCCATTTCAATTTTCAAATGTTAATACTTTGTGATCTTCTTTAATTCTTTCTCTTCTCTTCTACTATCACCTAGTATTGTCGTGTCAATTATCTACACTTTCTTTTTAACCACAAATTTGATGTGATTTTATCGTTTTGTATTCAGAAATTCCACAATATTTTAAACTGCTGATTTTTTTTACTATCTTTTCAGTTATCTGTTCCCACCAACTTTTCCTTATCAGCACATGATAATTTTTGCAGATGTTCCAATGAATCAGTTTGGCAGCTGTGTTGTTATTTATAATCAGCTGTGGATCTTCTCAGCAAAACTGAGTATATGATCTATTGCTGCTTCTGCTTTTTTGCATAATCTGTACTTTGAATCATTTGATGATTTTTTAGTTCTAATGTTGGCTGCATTAGTTATAATAGATTGCATATGAGCAACTAAAATCAAGCCTTCGGTTTCTTTTTTCAGTGTTCCTATTGTAAGAAATTGCCAGGTTTAGCATTATACATTTTCCCTTGATCTTTTATAGAAATTGGCCATATAATGCTTTCCCTTGCCAGCATGTTTTTATATCGTTTTTAATTATATCATTTTGATATTCTTGTTTTGTCTCCTGTACATTCAGTAAATTCCAATTTTTAACTTGCATCAATGCTTGATTTTGAAGATCCTTTACATCAGTAAATGCTTGTTTTTCTTCTTGAAAAATTTGAGTTATATTTTCTTGTTTTTCGATCCAAATAATTATTAAATGGTTCATTTTATAGTCAGCCAGATGTTCAGACAGGATTTGGCGTTTTTATCTACCTATCCAGTCCTTCGTAAGGACCCTGGATACAGATGTTGATGTGCGATGGTGTTAGAGATAGGATGTGAGTTGTTCTGATTAAAGCTGCCTTTTGCAATTGACTGATGGTGAATTTGTAAAAAAAAAAAAGTTATTATTATTTAAATGTAATACATGCCACCCACATATTTGCAATAGTCATGCAATTGCAATTTAGATGCATAGAACTACTTATTCACCTACCAGCTTAGTGCCTTGCAGCATGTGGAAGTATATTTTGTGGAATTTCCTCCAGATGTGTCATATCTATAACCACTCTGAGAATCTTGGATACTGCAATTATTGCACACATATAGGGGGCATCAGGTTTAGAGTCTTTTTTTAAGTATTTATCTCTAAAAGTAAGTATTTTTAAAAAATATTTTGGAAAGTCTTATAAATAATGTAGCACATAGAGGGGCCTGGCAAAAATCTGGACATAGCGTTGTACAATAATTTCTGCTTCTGCAAATGAATTTTTGTCTTTTCTTCTTGCTTCTTGTCAGGGAATTGATGAAATTTAATCTGTGGCTGAGATGCTGAAGCTTTCTTAGATACTCACAGTGAATTAACAATCGAAGCAAATTCTGAACTTAAACACTGTTATCTGCAGCAGAAAAGTTTTAAAATGTATTATTGCCACACACTCAGAAGAATTAAGGGTTGATCTGTTTTATTCAGCAAAATCTTTTAGAGAAATCAGTTTTACAATTTACTAATTCCAATTGTGGGTACATGCATGCCTGCTTATTATGTATTTATTTGATGATAATTTAATTTAATTTAATTTATCACATTTCTATGCCGCCCAACTCCCAAGGGACTCTGGGCGGCATAGAAATGTGCTTATAATAAATAAGCACCACTCACTATAGAGTTTTTTTTTTAATCTACTGTTTTCTTTTTCTTGCTATGCAATTAGATAGTTATTTCCTATGTAATTAAGCCTAAAACACAATGAGAAAACAGCATTATTTTTTGCGCTTTGACCATTGACCCACTTACAAGTACACAAGAGTGAATTCTAGGTTTTAAAAAGGAACAGCTGGCCCGTTTCATATACCGATCAAGGTACAAGTACTTGAAAAATAAATATATTTAGGTTATAGGACGGACCTTGGACTATCACTTTAGTAGACATTAACTTATTAAATCTTTGTGTCTCTAAAGTGACCTTTGTCCCTTGAATAAGCTGGGAGGGTGATGCAATGGGAACTTGCATCTATAAAAGGTGAACAAGGATGTTCAGGTGTACTCATTCCCTTTTGTGAAAAAAATTGATGGGCCAAAAAGGATTCAAAGATGATTCAGGGTTTGAAAGTTTTGGCAATCTTCTCAATTTGTTCAGCCCTACTATTTCAGGTAAGGACATAATTGGCATTTGGATTTCAAAATTGTAAGCCAAATGTATTTCAAGCCTAAGAGATATCTGTTATCAGAAGGGATTCAGTGTCTGAAGGGCTGTTATCAAGAATCCAGGAATGACCTATTACTGTTTCAGTATTGGACTTCTTCCTCAATGGATTGAATTACATCTGTTTCCAATGGCTTCTGCTTACCCAGTAAATTCAGGAAGGGTGGACTACTCCAGGTCTCTTCTCATGTCATCTTCAGAGAGCATGGGGGAAAACCTGAGTTATGGTTTCCATTTTTTGGAATGGCATTCTCAAGATTTCCACATTTGTTTATTTAAGAAGCCACAAACCCTAGCTTTTCTGGGAAAGACAGTGATGATGACCAAGAGATCTTATGCTCCAGGGAAATTTATTGTGATAGGTAGCTTGGTATATGTATATTTGTTTACCTTATTGGATTTTGTTTAACTTGTTTAACTGATTGGATTTTGCCTTTTCTTTTTGTAAAAAGCCCAGAGTTTCAAAATTGAGCTAATCTGCAAATACTGTCAATATATTACTATGGAAAATTGGTAGCATTAAGATGTAAGTTATGTGAATTTCTGTGGGACAGGCAAGTTTTGAAATTATCATTGACTTAATTAATTTTTGTACAGAAAGAGTAAGCGGTCATAAATTTCATGCAGAAATGACAGGATCTGAGAAAAAGTCTGAAGAGAATTCTATGGGCTGAATGTTTAAACAGATTTCAGTTTCATGTCATAGCCAGATTATAATTATGTTTCAGATACACTGTGCTTCACTGCATCCAGAAAATGCTCAGCTTCTTAGACCAAAAAGAACGACACCTTTCTGGAGAGGACTTTCAAGACCAGTTGGAGCACCATGCAGGGATAACAGTGAATGCTTCACAAGAGTGTGCAGGTAATTTCCTTCTCATGCCTGAAAATGAAAAATGTTTCATGCAAGTGTTTTTACTGTTAGGATAACTGCAATTATCAGGTTATTTTGAATAGGAGAAAGGTAAAAATAAATTAACATTTCTCCAGGTCTGTATATTAGCAGAAGGAAAAAAATCAATACAAAAGAAATTACAAATCTAGACTTCATTTACAAAATATTTTCTATTTAATGTTAAAACTGAAAACATTAAACAGTAATTTTTAATATAGTACAGTACAGATTGAAATTAAAAACATTTTGGAAAATGAAATGCAGGCAATCTAGGACAATCTAACATGAAAACTGATTTACCTTTATTGACACATTTCTTATTCCTTGCAATTGTACATCATTACCATCAAGAACAAAAACCTCCCATTTGGATGTGCAACTCTAAAAAATGAGCTAAATAAGTACTGGTAGCACTATTGCTTTCCTGAAACAAAGCAATGCAATGTTTGCTTCAATATTACAGAAACTACTGTTAAAATACTAGATTCTTTCTTACATACGAATTAATCTTAATGTGCCTAAAATAGTAATCAGACTGATTCTTTGTTTTATTTTGTAGGAACAAACTATGTTCTTTAAGAATATTGCAAGAGTAATTATGTCTTAAGAAGAACAAGCTGTTACCTTGGATTATGCTCCCCTTTATTTATTGTCACATCTCCTAATATATATATATTTAAAGCTTTTTCAATTGGTGCTTCAGTTGTATGGACAAATGAAAGAATTTCAACTTGGCAGAAATATATGCTAATTTAATTTATAGTTTCCATCTTGTTCCAAGATGCGCTTTTATCGAAGCTACAGTAGCTTCAATTGATTTTATCTTTTATTTGTATTTTTTTCTGTGCAAAAAAATAAAATAAATACTTGTAAGAGCAACTACAGTTTGATATTTGTCTTGCATACCATTCAAAAGAGAAAGACACATAACAATTAAGACACACTGAAAATATTCTGAGAAGAGATGGACTTTCCCAACAGATGACTCTTCTGAGCAAAAGTGATAAGATTTTGACTCTATCTAACTATTAATAGTGTTAGACAATTTCAAGCAGTTTCCAGTCTTAATGAAGCACTTAAAGAACATTAAATTATTAACAACAAGCATTTAAATACCACCAATTCCAACACTCTTCCAAGTTTTTTCCCTTTTTAATTTTTCCTATGGCTTTCAAACTTACATTGCGTAGTGGGTAATGCTGCAGTCAGCTTAATGAAAATATTTCAATGATAATTATAGGAAGTCCTGTCGCCTTCCCACTATTATGTGTTCAGGAAATGAGAGGACAGATCACAATTGCTCCCATTCTCAACCTGAAAAGATTTTCTGATCTAATGTGCAGTGCCATGGCAGAAAGGTTTATACTAAAGGATTAATTCAAGCACAGTGCTTATAAAGTTTATTACAGAAAATCTATTTGATATTTATTAAACTTAGTTTCTCCAGTTACAGTTCTGCATTGTACAAAGCATTTTAATGACACAATAGTTAAAAAGATCTTTACAAATTGAAATGCGATACCCTTTTTTCCAAATATTTAATTGCCATAAATTTGTTTAAAAATACACATTAAACGCATATTTCAGACACTAAACTTTCTATAATCTCAATACCACAAAATACATAGAATATACTATACAGATGTGGAAAAAAATCTGGTTAGTATATAATACTTTGCTCACCATTAACATACGTGAAATGCACATATACTGACTTAGAAATCCTAATTTGGAGCCCCAAAGTACCCTTTTGAAATTTCAAATGTATTGCAAAGGAAAGGAAAAGGAGAAAAATCACAGTTTTATATGTTTAGTTTTGGTTGAGAACAGATGACTAAATAGTAAATAAAAAATGTAAGTAATGGACACAGCATGTACAATGCACACAACAGACAGCCATATTGCCAATCATAATCAGTACCAAGATGCATGTTCAAGGTTACTTTTTTAAAAAAAGATTTTTTTTAAAAAAAGATAAAAGGGTACAAATAACCTCTCTCCCACCCCCCCATCCCATACGTTTGCCCAAACTAAAAGAAAACCTTCCTTACCAAATAATTTCAAATAAGATAAAGAATCTTTAATAAATATATAAGCACTTTATCCTCCATATACAAAACTTCTTAAAACCATTTAAAAGGGGAGTTTGATACAAATGTGCTTGCAGAGACTATGCCTGGACTGTGCAGCCACATTTTCAGACATCCGAATGTAATCATCATGGGACAGTGGCTGCAGTTTTGATGTTTTTTATTCACTAAGAGAGAGAAAATGGTTTTGAATCCAATATGCCAACATCATTCCTATTTTGGCAGTCACATTATCAGAAACAAAATGCTTTGCCAATAAGTTTTTAAATAGAACCAAGAAGCAAAACCAACATTTCAGTAAGTTCAACAGGTTTCTTAGTGGAAGCGGTGGTATAAATGAACTGAATTTGTTTAAAACTCGGATCAATCAGTAAATGCAGAGGGCATGAATGCATTTAGTGAAAATGCTTGCATTTCCAGAACAGCCTCACTCCAGTGAAATTGATTAGTAATTTATCTCCCATATGCTATTATAAAATGCCATAAATACATTGAACTTATCTAAAAGAATAAAACTGATCATCACACTTTGTATTGTACAGCTAAGCTGTGTTTGTTACACCCTGGGGGGAAATGAAGTTGCATAATAGTGTTCACTAGTAAAGTATACTGTTGAACCATTGGAAACTCAAATTTCCCACAATACTGTTTTCTGCTCAATTTAAAATCATTATGTCCTTGATCCAAATATTTATGAAATATTTGCTATTCAAGACTCTTATCCTATGATTTGGAGGTTGCTTTCTCCTTCCATTAGTTAAACGTATTCAACTTGATTTGCTCAGGCCCATTTAAGCCATTTTAATAAAAATACCGCAGAGTTGATTACAGGGCAAGGAATTATACATAGCAAAGTTAGTATTTCCTATAAACTGCCAAATTTGGCAAACTATACAGTTATCTGCTGCAGCTGTGACTTACTTGCCTTTGGCAAGCAAATATACCTATTGGCGCCATATGGCTGCACCTGCTTCATAACACTCTTACATGAGTTGTTTTGTATAAAATCATAGTAATTAAGCTTCAACAATCTAAAAGAAACTGAAAGCATTCCTGCATAAAATGCAAAATTTATCACCACCATCAAAATGAGGATGGTTCAACACTCAATAGATATTGTGATGTAGTTAGATGTACTATAATCTAACACAGATAATAATGAACTTTGAACAGGCTTAATTTCATCTATTTCTGCATATAGATATAGTATTAGAAACACGTATATTACAAATTGCATACTGCCATCAAAAGGTCTATAACCATTTGCTCTTCTTTACACATAAGAGACTTAAATTGTATTTGAACACGTTGGGGTCATTTAGTCTAGTACCCTGGATGTTCATTTAAGATCCAAAAGGAAGTAGCCAAGTATGTACAAAATCACTGGGTCCTAGACTAAATTTGCCATCAGAACTTCATTTTAGAATGGAATGTGCCAATTGTTTTCTAACCTATTCCTAACGCCCAAAATGAAACTTTTATAACCTCTCAGTCTAATACAGTCTGAAAAATTAACTGCCAACACTCTGGTAAAGCATTTCAAGATCTCTAGTGGATTTCATCCTACCATTTGTGAATTGTTCTCCTAAAACTCAGCAAGTTTTTTGGGGAGAGGGGGGGAAGACGGGGGATGAAAGATCAAAATTATTTGTGCGATGAAGCAATTCATTTTGCTCACTCAGGTGTAAAGTATTAAGCCATCTTATAAAGACGCATCACTGGGATATATTAAAACACTGATATGTGTTAATACTCAGTCATGGACTCGATAATATATAATATTCCAGAGTTTTCAAACGAAAATAATTGAACAATTTCTGTTATGGGCCGAGATGTACACGCAATGGGCTCAATACAAATTAAGTCCAACTCAACTAAGGAAAGTCACTTGCCTTTGAACTTTAAGTTTATTACGTTCTTGCACTTAACAATGAACTTTGGCAAATTACTCATGCACTCCTGAGATCATTGAATTCTTAAGTTAGGTGCAGTGGTGAAATCCAATTTTTTTTTTTTACTACCAGTTCTGTGGGCGTGGCTTGGTTTGCGTGGTGTGGCTTGGTGGGCATGGCAGGGGAAGGATACTGCAAAATCTCCATTCCCACCCCACTCCAGGGGAAGGATACTGCAAAATCCCCATTCCTTCCCCACTCCTGGGGGAAGGATATTGCAAAATCTCCATTCCCACCCAACTCTGGGGCCAGCCAGAGGTGGTATTTACTGGTTCTCTGAATTACTCAAAATTTCCACTACCGGTTCTCCGAACTACTCAAAATTTCCGCTACCTGTTCTCCAGAACCTGTCAGAACTTGCTGGATTTCACCCCTGCTTAGGTGGCATTTTAAAAGTTGATAATTTGATTTCAATTGCCTGAAAATTCGACTGATCACTTAAATTGGAAAACAAACGATTTATTATGAATAAACAAGCAGTTTATTTAGGACACCCAAATAAGACCTCCACGAGACAGCTATTGCAACAGGTAAACTCATTGCAGCTTAAGTCTACATTTAAACCTAGAGAAGCCTTGCTAAATTAATAAAGAGACAAACACTTAGGAAGTATCTGGAGATATATAAAAAATCAGTCTGATATATACTATTCTAGTTTTAAAAACAATAGATTAAAAAAGAGACATTTTCTTACTGCTAGTCTATGTTAAATGGGTACAAAAGGAAGCAAACTAGTCAAATGATCATTGCAGCACCTTATAAGAAGAGCGCCTATAATCCACGCTGGGATAATGTAAAGATTTTACTATAATAAATGTGTCAGGCACTTTCAAATGTCAAGGATGTTGACTTTTGATATTAGCAAGAAAATTAGTCTTGGAAAATTAGCTATTTATTATTTGACGCTAGCAGGAATCTGTGCTCTTCCTCTTGAATCTATGGTTTATGAAAATGCATATATTTTAAAATTGCTTTTCACAATTGATATTTTTACTCAAGCAGCTTACATGAAATAAACACTGAAAGCCCGCTAAAATATTTCTTTAACTCTTTAATCTCTGTGTTGAGAGTAAATACAATAATGTTTGCTAAGGGAGCAATTTAAAAAATCTTCTCCAAGATAGCTGCTCACACTGACTGAAAGGAACACAAGTATGTGGAACACTAGTACGTTGCAATTTCATATAAACAGATGGGTTTTCCCATTATTGATTAGCTAAGGTGATTTTTGCACATAGTAAATTTACAGTGATAATTCAATCACTTACATGGCAAAACCACAATATACTTTTTTGTATAAACAAAAATGCTGTATGGTTGTGCCTACATGTTTTTCTTCTGCTCTCACAACTCATTCTTGTGCTGCAGGGTGCAACAGTAAGCTTTAATGACATCGAATACAAACCAAGTGATTAGCAACTTCAACGAAACAGATCGTAAGTATCAGGGTATAAAAGAAACCATGTATCCCATCAGGATACAAATCTCTATGAATATACAAACTATTCTTTAGTTGTTATAATTTATGAAGCTACTGAACTTTCACTGTCCCAAAGATACTGCAATACTAATTGGTGTAAAATTCTATCCTTCTTTCAAAACTCGCCATCATTTTGGCACATAGCTTATACAGCTAGACATAATTTTAGTGCAATTGTTTTCTTGAACATGCATGTTCACATCTGGGTGGGTTTTAGGAACAAGGGCAGGCAAAGCAGCATATCACAATTCCACAACGAAAAGGTTTAGAGTCTGACTCTAAAGCACGAGCAACATGAATTGTCAACAAATGACAGCCACTAGAATTAGGAAAAGGAAGTACAATTTTACTGCTGGAGACTGACTGGATACCAGGTCCTAAGTGTAAAACGTCTTGTAAACAGTATTTAAAATCTTCATCTAAAAAGGCATAAGGCACACCAGACATGATAGGGACGCTAAAGCAGTATTTTTTTTCTTTTAGTCAGATAAGCACCTTCTATGAAAAGGTACCTTGCTTATTAACCTTAAAGCAGATTTTCATGCATGATTCTTGCTGATCACAGTTATTTCATTATAATTAAATAATCTGTTCCCATCACAAACATTTAACATTAATGAATGTGCCACAGAATGGCATAAAAGCAAAATTTCAAATTAATTGGACCGAACAGTTTAAAATGTCCCTGTAATTCACAGGTCTATTCTCTACCCCGTCTTGTCCATTACATAATTCTGACAAAGACAGATGTTTGTCACACATGGCGTTTTCTGATGAAGCATGTCAGTTTCACATAAGGAATTACTACTGTTAGAAGCTTTGGTGTCTAACAATTACAAGTTAGGAAATAAAAGAGGCTGCACCAAAGTATGAGATTGTCCATCTGAAACCATTCCTATTTTATACTTGGAGACTGAAGTCCATTGTGACTCACATCACATTGAATATTGCATTAAATGCAATATTTTGTAACGTACTGAGATTATTAGTGTTAAGACATGTGTTTCGAAACTGATTTGCCATACAAATACTTGAATATTTTGACTTCAAATGATTTAATTGATGATGAAGTTATAACCTTGGAACTTAGCACATCAATAAAACTGTGGCCATCATTAAGGGTTGACTTAAATATGCAGGAAAATGTGTGTGTCTACACTTTAAAATCTATCAACCCTGACTTTCTCTTACAAGCTCCACCATCACAAGACATTACAGAATAACAAAGCTCACAAAATACTTAAATAAAGTGTCTACATTTAATCTTCACTAAGTACTTGATTAGGTAAAATTCATAGGAAAAACAGCTAAGTTTTAAACCAGCCCCAAAACACAGCTTTTAAAAACAAATTAAAATAAATAAGTTTTAAAACAGATTTGTTAGGCATCATTATTAGAATTCCAATCCAATTGCAAATCAGTGAATCCATTTTACATTAAAACATTGCAGAGTTTAAACTATTTTTAAATATTCTTTTTTAAAATGGGGTCAGCTGAAAAAGTTCATTAACACAATGTTTGGAGGTTCTTACACACATGATGCTGGGAGACACAGGAAAGTGTTCCTTTCTCTTTGATTTCACTTTCTTTGCTTTCATTATGGCAGTCTTCCTTATTTTTTTTTATGACACAGTGTTGAAAAAAAATCAGAGGCAGCAAGCCTCTTACTTCAATCCAGTTATAACTTGGCATCCACACGCAACCAATGTAATCCCTGTCGGGTGTAATGTACCAGATCTGTCATAACACTTGCATTAAAGATCAGAGGACCCATAACTTTGTCCAGTTCTGCAAAAAATTCTATAGAAAAAAAAAAAGAAAAATAATCAGATTGAAAAAGACTGTTTCCCATGACATCTCCCAAAACAAATTGATAGAAATCACATGCCTTGTTAGTTTTTATAAAACTACAGTATAATCCAAAAAGAGATTGGAAAATATATCAAAGCTTTATTGCTTTAATTGACTCAGCAGCAACGATTTCTTCTTCTTCTTTTTTAATTGAAAAAAGTTCACTCTCCTGGAGTATAAATTAATGCAATTCAATCTTACCCTTTTGTTCTCTGGCAAGCTGATCTGCTTGGTCCCAAATTTCAGTGGCATACAGAAAGTTGGAAGTAACCTGGACGTAGCTGGCTGCCATCTGATGTATCCTCTGTGGAATAGTAACTGAAGAAGCACTCCCTGAAGGGTTGGTTGACCCTGACGAGTAATTTCCTGAATTCCCTGGAGACAATTTTGGTGAAACTGGAGATGGCATGCTGACAGGTTTGCTAAAAATTAAAAGGGGAAACTTTCTTTACTAACACTTGCAAAACAGAAAACTTTACTAACACTTGCAAAACTACAAAACTCCTATAAAGTTACATAATTCAAAACCTGCATTCTGCTATTAACTATAGAAACACAATTTCAATATTTGTGCCCTGAGTTATCTGGTAGCTGCAGCAGAAACCCATGTAGCATCCAGTATTAAACCTCCTTTAAACACCTTTTCTAAGGAGGTAACTGAATATAAGGAGTACTATGCACTCCTTGTTTTATAAATTATTTTTTATGTTTAATTGTAATTTCTCTGATTGTTGTGCATAGCCCAGGGTAGTTGAGAGACAGGCAGCATACAATTTCTGTCCATCTATTTTTTCAAACACACAAACACGTATGTGTGTGTTTATGTTTATTCTGCAAAATGAATTATGATTGGGGTCCATGTGTACAATCTCTTATTTAAACCATTCAAACTGCTTATAAGTGTTCAGTGATATTATTAGTGTTATAATGGTACTACTACCACTGCTCTGGTAGATGATATAATTATGCAATAAAATCCCCTTCCCCTTTATTTGTGAAAATTTGACAGAAGTCTGCATAAGAAGTTTGAATCTATCAGGAGAAAACAGAAAAGTTCTGTCATATAAAACATATATATAGGAAATATTTAGCCACAAATTAATTAAAAAGTAAAGACTTATAGAACAACTGCTTTTATAATGCTTCAAAACTGGATAGGAATTTCAGATATCCATTTCATATTTTCACTGTTTAATTCATGCCTTCATACAAAAGACCCAATAATGCATTACATAAATGCTTACCTTCCCATACCAGGTGATGGGGCTTGAGAATTGTTATAGGAATTCTGTTTAGGAAAAACCCAGAAATTTCAAAATTAATGCAAATTCAATACTATACGTTCTACAACAACAAATTTCTAAAAAACCGAATCAATCCATGAAGTGCTTTGATATAGTCCATTTAAAACATGTTACAGCACCAGGAAGAATTTGAGTAAGAATGGAAGTCAAATCTAGGCATAATCACTACTAAAATGAAGTGTAAACATGTCTGCATAATTAAATAAGTGACACAATAAACTTTCCAAAGGCATTATTGCTGAATTATATATCAATGATAACATTTATTTAGGAAAAGACTAACAAAATTTCAAATTATAAATTAATACATTTTTAAAAAACACACATTTTTACCTTCAAATGTTCAGTCAGTGTCTTGGAATATTTTAACGCACTTTCCTTCTTCAGCTTGAAAAGTCTTAAATATAAGAGGGACTGGCATCTCAGACTAATAAAAAGAAGAATGCTACTATTTTAGAAATTTGCTAATAAAAGATCCTCACTGATCTTTAATTTTATTTATTTATTTATTTATTTTGTCAGATTTATATGCCGCCCTTCTCCTGCAGGACTCGGGGTGGCTCACAACAATAAAACAACCAGACAATAAATAAGAGTTAAATGATATTAAAACTAATTTAAAATCCCCAATCCCCAAGTTAAAATCTACAACAGATCAGGGAAGTTGGTGAAAAAGCCATGTCTTTAGGTTGGCGCGGAAGGTGCCATCTGGAGCTCAGTGGGCAACCCATTCCAGAGGGTCGGTACGACCACAGAGAACGCCCTCATCCTGGGGACCGTCAGCTGACATTGTCTAGCCGAGGGGACCCAGAGGATGGCAGCCCTATGTGAGCGCACTGGGTGGTAGAGATTACACTTCTACTGAGATTCTTTAAAAATAGCTTTTTAAAAATTGAAATAGTCAAATTTCAATAAAGATTAAAAAGAAATGCAAGTATTAAAACTCAATTAGGCTTTTTTGCTTTATTATTAATAATACAGTGAATAATTATTTATTTTTATAGTGACTGTGTTGCTTTCAGATATTAAACTAGAATAGTAATATATGCTTTATCTGACCACACACAAAATGAAAGTATGCCCAAATACATTTTGCCTCTAACTATTCCCATTCTTTCTAATTTAGTTCTGAATACATACCATAGTACTGCTAGCCTTTTGTCTGCAGCAGTTGCATCTGGTGCTGAGCAATTCTTTAGCTTCATAGTGTACCTTCAACCAAAAAAGAAGACAAATAATACATTTTAAAACTCTTTTTCGCTTTTAGTTTTAAAAAATATATCGCCCAAAACGCTTATATACTAAGCATTCTCCATTTCTTAAAACCATGTCAAGTATAGCAAAATACACTGTACAAAGCTAAGAATTAAGAAAGTGTTTTAAATGATAGTTCTGCAAACACTTGCAAAATATTAACTTTTTCTATATAAGATTTAATACCTTACTTTGGCCACAAACTAAATAATAAAAACCCAATGATATATCCTGTTATACTCCTAGTTGGCAAGTCAATTTAGTTCAGATATTGACTCAGTGCCTAGAGACTGTGAGAATCTGGATGGGAGGAACCAAATCCAACTTAACCTAGGAAAATGTAGTGGGACTGGGTTTGGGTCCCCTTGGATCTGGTGCCATGTTTAACTCTTGCTGGGGCTGCTTTCCCTTGGATAGAGCTGGTGCACAATTTGGGGTGGGGGCATTCCAGACTACAACGCCGCCTCAAGGAGCAAGCTAGGGGAACCTTTGGACAGATTCATTTCATTCAACAATTGGACAGATTCATCTCATGCAGCAACTGCACCCATTCCTAGACGGGAAGGCCTTGCTTACAATCATTTACTTCCTAATCATTTTCCAGTTAGATCACAATGCGAGTTACATGGCTTCCCTTGAAGACAATCTGGAAGTTACAACTAGTCTGGAATGCAGCAAAATGCAAAGTTTTGAGTAGTTTGTCTGTACTTCTCCACTGCTCTCCAGTTTCGTTCCAGGTGCAATTCAAAGTGTATCATATCAGAGAAGGTGGGCATGTTTGCTCCAGATGCTGTAAATGTTGCCGTCTCCTGGGACCTAGAAAGTAGGCCACTACTACTCTCCTTGCTTTCCTGAAGGCATTGGAAGAACTGATTCTTTTATGCGCTGAGTTAGGATGAGGCTGTAGTCTGGTCAATGTAAATATTGCTGAATGGGCCATTGGGACTTTTTGATGTTGATTTGATTGACTCCTTATATTTTTATTGCTATTTTTGTGAGCCATCCAGAATTATTGTACAAAAAAAAACTGCCATGTAAGTCTTATAAACAGATGTTGGCAACTGAAGAACACCTCTAGAACCAACTATTATTAGTATATCACTTAGGAGTACAATTCCCTATTGTGTCCCTATTCTGGTAATTATACTAATTGATTGTCTATATAACTTACTTGATGAGCTCCACAGTTTCAGAATACATAGGGAATGGGGACTTGGATTCCTGAGCATTTTTCTCCAATGCATTCCCACATTCAATAAATGAAACTACAGCATCAAGGTAAAAAACAGCTTTTTCAAACCTGTCAGACTAAAAAAAAAAAAAAAAAAAGGTCTTACATGGAGATTTATGACAACGTCAAAGAATTCACCTTAAAAGGATTCAATCAGCAGACAATACATTTTTCTTACCAGTTTATCAGCATTATGTTTTAATTTCTTTGCTTCTTGCAAATAGTGATCTGCTGAGTAGCTTCTGCAACATAAAATGAAATGGTAACATTACAAAATGTCTAATCTTTGTTGCTCTGCTTATTTCATTATTTGTGTCTATTTGAGGATGGAGTGCAAAGGGTGTTTATTCAAAACATTTATATAGCTAGCCATCTTGCAACAAACTCTGAGTGGCTCCCACAAAATAAAAAAATATCCATAATAAAACATAAAAGCCATATTAAAGCTATTAAAGCCATAAACATTAAAACAAAAAACCTGGCACTAAATGAAGCTTCTGACATGCAGTCATCTTATCCTATCTCGGAGATGATGGGAAAAGCTCAAGTTTTCAACACTTTTTGGAAGGCTAGGAAGGTAGAAGCCTGCTGAACTTCAGGGTAAACAGCTATTGTACCATAGGACAATAGCTGCCACAGAAAAGGCACACTTCCTAATTCCCGTGAAGTGGCAAAGTTTAACAGAAGGGACTAGGAGTGGGCTAAGTATCTCATTTAATGAGACAGAATAAAAAAAATGGAATGAAATGGAGAAGCCTGCCTAAATTGTCACTAATTTGGCATGGGAAATAACTTTTCTTGGGTTGCACAATTATATACTGATACCAGGAGCAGTAAACACTTTTAATACTATTTAGGATACTGTGCCAGAAACAGTGATGAAATAGTCATCTCCCTGCCTTCAAAACAAACACAAACCCTCTTATCTCCTCCAAGACATAACTCCAGCCTAGTAATGTTCACTGTTCTTCAATCTGCACTGATATAATGCAGAGCTTTTAGAACAGGGGTCCCCAACTCGTGCGTGGCATGCTAGAAACCGGTCCACACAAACTAGTCCACCCCATCTGTGGAATGCAGAAAGCACATGAAACCACGCCTTCGGTCCATAGAAAAACCTCTCTCCATGGTCCCTGATGCCCAAAAGGTTGGGGGGGGGGACTCTGTTTTAGAATACTGGTGTAAATGGACGATGTTCCTGTATTGGTGCTTAGCATTAGATCCTGTGTACAGCATATGTACATCTGTACATCTCTGTGAATAACAGATATACTGGATTATAGTATATCACTAAAGCTTTGGATTGAGCTTTGACTCAACTGCCTGCAATGTGTTCACAGGCTGAATATACAGTAATGAATTTGGGTCAGATTTTGCATGATTGTCAGAAAAAGTACCTTTGGGATCTTAGGTTATATCTATGGAGATTCTCAGTCATCCAGGTCATGGTTGTCCCAAAGGTGTTTTTTCAAGAGGCAACTGGACTTTCTGGTTTTCCTTTGAAGAGCTGAGCTGAAGAAGCTTCTTCAAAGAAAAACCAGAAAGTCCAGCTGCCTCTTTAAAAAGCACCTTTGGGACAACCATGACCTGTATGACTGAGAATCTCCATAGATGTATCGTAGACTGGAAAGTCAGTTCAAAATACTGTTCAGCTTCTGTGAACAACCTTATTCATCAGCAATTTTTAAAATATAAGAAAGCAACAGTATTTTATTATATTGGCACCCCAAAAATGTAGCACTACAAAACTGGAATGCCCCTCTGGATTTTTTGTAGCACAAACAGGTCAGACCTGTTAATGGAACAAATTAATTAATAGAACAAATCTGATAACAGGACTCAGAACAAGCATAAAACAACAACAGAGCATTTTAACTCTCAGGACATTCTACTACAGATGAATGCTCATGAATGGTTATAAAATGTGTTCATCTTAAAAAGTGCTGGCAGATTCTTTTTGATTTTTGTTTACCATAGATCCTTCTATAACTTTTATCAAATTACAGTATAGTTTATGAAAAAAAATTAATATGAACTATACCCAAACATTTCTGCAGAAGTCTAGCAACAAAACCATGCACCTGGTTTTCATCTTTGTTCTCACCTGTCATCAAATACTAGCTTTGCTCTTCGGGACTTTGAACTATCGGAACTTGTGACGGAGGCAGAAGGACAATTAGAAGAATTATTTAAAACCTTTTCCTTGGAAAAAACAGAATACAGTTAATTAAAACATGTTTGGAAGGAGAGGCTTTGCAATTGCCAAGTTCAGGCTAGTTAAATGCAACCCAGATGTTTGCCACAAATCTAACTTGACAAACAAAGGTGTTAACCATAATAATAAATTCAAAACAGAAAGCAGATGGAATTTTAATAATTATGCTATTATAATTTGCATGAATATTGTTAATACAGTAATTATTTTGCATCATTTAATACTTCAATTATAAAGCTTTTTTGGCTCTGTAATGGTATACTAACTTACGTTGAGCTAGGCTATGCAGCAAATATTTGACAAAAAATAGGCTTCATCCCATTTAACTTTTTTTCCCCCAACAGAGCTTTTCATCTAAAAAATAGTAGTAGAATTTGCAAAATGGACAAAATCATATTCTGCATGCTTGAATTTATTTCTTAGCAAGTTGGGATGGGTGAGGGGATGGGAAGTGGATGGCTACCAATATGTTTGGCCATCTGTATATCCTTGGATTAAATATTCAACTATTTCCCTGCTGTAAAAATATAAGCTTATTTAGGAATGCCAACATTAATTGGGATCATATCAATTAGCTCAGCTCTCAATATTATCTACACAATCTGATCTGTTCCTCAACATCTTAAACTCAGCTCAAACATCTTCAGGGAAGAGCAGGGGTGAAATCTAAACATTTTTGCTACCGGTTCTGTGGGTGGAGCTTAATTAGTGGGCGGGGCTTGGTGGTAAGGTGACTGGAAGGGCCTGGCTTGTTGGTCAGGTGGGCATGGCCAAGTCAATGTCACTTCTTTGCCCTTTTTTAACCTACAAAACAAAACACAACACAACTGGCTCACCCACAATATAAAAACAGCTGTGCTAGACCCAAAATGGCCCCTGCAACAAGCAGGAACCTCACACAGCCACAAAAAGCCCAAAAAACCAACTTTCACACTTTACACACACACAACACAACACAACTGGCTCACCCACAATGTAAAAGCAGCTGTGCTAGACCCAAAATGGCCCCTGCAACAAGCAGGAACCTCACATAGCCACAAAAAGCCCAAAAAACCAACTTTCACACTTTACACACACAAAATTCCACATACAGCTTTGTGAGATTTTGTGTGATTTTGTAGTTAGAGTGAAACACTACAGAAACACACTAAATCTCACAAAGCTGCACAAATATTATTTTATTTTTATTTATTTTTATTTTTATATAAAAGCAACTAAATTTAAAACTTCCTAAACTTTAAACAGCTAGGTCTAAAAAAAGAACAACTAAAAAAAAAACCCCAATTAACTATTTTTTTAAAGATCCCAAAGGGGAAAAAAAACTTACCCAATAGAACAGGGGTCTCCAACCTTGGCAACTTTAAGACTTGTAGACTCAACTCCCAGAATTCCTCAGCCAGCTTTGCTTTGCTGGCTGAGGAATTCTGGGAGTTGAAGTCCACAATTCCCTGCCTGCTTGATTGCAGGCAGGGAGATTCAGTTGCTTGCTGATGTAATCGATTGCAGGGATTACAGCAAGGCGTTGCGACCAATGTAAGTAAGCAAGCTAAGGGGGGAAGGGGAGGGATTTTTGCTACCGATTAGCAGGCAGAGCCATTTAAAAGGAAAAAAAAGGCTCTGATGATCGCGTGGCTCATGGGGCATGGGGAGCGGGGGCAGGGATTTTTGCTCCCGGTTCTCCGAACTGCCCACCGCCATTGCGACCTACTCGCCCAAGCCGGTCCAAACCGGGAGCATTTCACCCCTGGGGAAGAGGCATTTACTTGGGCATTTACACATTTAGGGACTCAATTGATGCAATGTTCCAAACCACATGGACATACCTGTTTTACAAAGAGGGGCATGATGTGTAAGACAACTAAGTGCCTCTGGTATTAGGAAGAGGATTAATGGCAGGCCTAAGTTTTAATGCAGGACATTTTTAAAAATAAAGTTTATATACCGTATTTTTTGGAGTATGACACACACTTCCCCCCCCCCCAAAAGAGTGTGAAAATTTGGGTGCGTTTTATACTCCAAATGTAGCTCCGCCCACCCACCGGCCCCCACCCTTTGGCCTCTGCCTCCCAGCAATTTACTTCCTTGCAGCAAGCAACAAACAACAAAACAGGCCATTTCAGCTTCACCGCCCTGAGTCCTTCGGGAGTAGGGCGGTATACAAATCAAATAAACTAAACGAAGCACAGACTGATTAGCACAAGCAGTTTATTGTTGGTTGGATCAACCTCCTGACCCTCAGCTATTTCAGGCTGCAAGGATTGCCATTGCCTATTGCCATGCGGGCCTCCGCTGCTTGCTGCAAGCAGGCAAATTGCTGGGAGGCAGATTTTTTTTTCTTGTGCTGAAAATGAAACTAAAGCAGACTGTTTGCTGCAATGAGGCAAACTGGGAGGCAGAGGCAGAGTTATTGTGGGTGTTTTATGGTCTTATTTTCTTCGTGTCCTTTTGTTGTAAAATTTCTGTCTAGAATCAACAATTAGCTGGAATTTAAAAAGCATTTCACTAACTTAATTAAAATGTTACCTGAAGGAAAATAAAGAGAGGGAGGAAAAAGCTTTACATCTAATATATTGCGTGCTGAATTGATTCGGATTTCAATACCAATCTATGCAAAGAAAAAAACTTAAAACAGTTCCAAACTGGTAAAATTTCATAATATTTCCCATATCCATGTACTAGCGTATATCTTGTTTTTCTCTCCAAAAAAGGTAGGTGCGTCTTTATTTATTTATTTATTATTTTATTTATTTTATTTTATTATTTATTTTATTTATTTATTTATTATTTTATTTATTTTATTTTATTATTTATTTTATTTTATTATTTTATTTTATTATTTTATTTTATTTTATTTTATTATTTTATTATTTTTATTTTATTATTTTATTATTTTATTATTTTATTATTTTATTTTATTTTATTTTATTTTATTTTATTTTATTTTATTTTATTATTTTATTTTATTTTATTTTATTTCTATACCGCCCTTCTCCTGCGGGACTCAGGGCGGTGTACAGCCAGGATAAAACATAGCATATAAAATTTAAAAGCATTTTAAAAAACAATTAAATAATTTTGGCCTAAGTTTAAAACAACCCAATTAAAACCGAAATCAATTAAAAACTTAATAGTCCGGAGTGTCTTATACTCCAAAAAATACGGTATGCTGAATTTCACACAAGATTTAAAGACACCAAAAACAAGTTATAATCACTAATTGAAGTATTTTTTACCTTTGTTTCTTTAGTGTTATTTGAAGCCTTTCCTTCTGTCTTCTTTTGCTTAGATGAGCTACTTTTAGTGCTGCTATTATCCTTGTTACTATTACTGCCTGATTTCAAGGAAGAAGACTGACTGATAGTTCTTTTCCTAGATCCGTGCTCTTGCTTTGGATCTTTTGCAACAACTGAGGTTGTGTCTGGAGATGGGAGAAGATCCTTCTCTTTAACAGTGCTTTGCTTTGAAGACCTGTCCTCCCCAAATAAAATAGGAAACAGAATTAAAGATGTTGTACTTAATTATATGCAAAGGGTATTTTTTGCTTTTGCACAATCAGCTTCCAAGCAATGAACTTATTTTATCAAACTATTATATTTGAGAAACAGAATAACACAGTTATCTCAGGTTGAGGAAAAGAATAGCTGGAATATCCCAAGGTCATATAAATTTGCAAAAGGCAAGTTTATTTGAAACAGTTTATATCCTGCAATGATACCTTTAACAGCATCAAATAACAAATCTGCCTATCCAGGTCCTTAGGAAGAATTCAACAGGTGGATAAAAATGCCAAATTCAGTCTAAAGATCTGGCTAACTGTGCAACTGTTAACTGTGCAACCACAATATGCCAAAATCATAAAAAGATTCTACCTTCCCTAATCCTTGCTCTAATCCTTTCTTCTCCAATATATAAATAAATATATTTTAGCCTGCAATACTTCTTTTCATCTAATCAAAACTGTCACAGTCAAAATGGAAGTAGGTATGTTTAATAAAACAAGGGAATGCAAATGTGAAATAGTAAGGAAACAGAAAAACAGCAGAGGCTTAGAAAGCATTTTAAAAAAAACTTTATAATAAATATAAATCAAATTAAGTAATAATCAATATATAAAGGTGGTACAGATGTTTTTACATAAATTGATTTTGTTTTAATGTGTTATATTGTAAACTGCCCAAGAGCTTTGACTATTAGGAAGTTCAAAAATAAGAATAAACAAATTAAAAAATAAAATAAAGGGTATGGAAACTTCTAGAGGCATCATAGCAGCTGGAATCACTTTGTTTGAAGTCTCCAAATAAAGTATTCTTTAATCTAGAAAGATGTACAATATTTGGAATAGTATGTCTTAAACACGACCTCCCAAAGATTTAAAAACTGCAATGGAAATATTAAATGTGTAAGAACATAAACTTGGCATCAGTGCTTGTTCAAATAATACTATACAACTGAATTTTAAACAAGAAATTATTTGCCTGATCCCTAGATGAAATGAAAACTAGAAACTGAATACATAAGAATGTGCTTACACCATGTACTTGTGTACTATAGGTTGGAAAAGTTACTCACTCTCTATTACTAGAAGTCTTGTGTGCTGTAGAAGGTTTTTCTTCCACTTTAGTTTTCTTGCTTTCAGTGCCTCTGCTGTCTTCTGCGTTCTGTGATAGAAGATTTGAGAGTTAATAACCAAGACGAAGTTTAATAATCTCAACTATACTGATTTTTATAAATCACCACAATTCTCAAAGAAGCCAATGACGTTAGGATGGTATGAGTGCGGAATGGGACAACTTGCCATAGGTAACTCGCCACGGCCAATTCACCGTGGAACAACTCACCATGGTCAACTTGCTGCAGAGGTCAACTCAACAATTCTATTTAATTATTTAAAATAATCAAAAATTATTTTAATTTTTGTCATTCATATTTCATTTTATCCCTCTTTTGGCATTACTTTTTAATTAGTCTATTCCACTATTTCTTGATATTATTGTAACTCTTGTCCATGGCTGGCCTTGGTGAGTTGTCCCACAGTGATTTGGTTGGAGTGAGATGCCCATGGCAAGTTAATCGCAGTGAGTTGGCCATGGCATGTTGGCCGTGGCAAGTTCTCGTAGACCCTGATGAGTGATAACAATCTTGGCAAAACAGCTGTTCTCAGTTGTGTAGCTGGGCCAAACCAAGGCAGCAAAAATGCCTCAGATTTCAAGAAGGTAATTTTAATGCTCCCCTAGGGTAAATATAAATTCTTAGAAATTATATTAAGGTATTTCCCAGCCTTATTTTCAATTATATTAAGGCAAAATGTCTTTGAAAACTATGAGTGTTTCCCCCCATATTTCTCCCCATTTGGGCCAAGCTGCCTTTTATGAAGCTATCAACCAATTTAGTCATTGCTATTTCTTCCATTTTTACCAGCCTACCTTCCATTTTTTACCAGCCTACTACCCACAATTCCTTACAAATAACTGTTATAAATAATACTTCTCACAATATTAGAAGTAAATAACATACATTGATGCTGTATGATACCATAGTACAAGAAATACTGCTTAATTTGATGAATGTAAACAAATGTGACACCTCACTTTTTATTGGTCACAGACTGTCAATATGGCTACAATTCTTGCTATGCTGACAACAGCATTTTCTAAAAATGGAAATTTCTGTTTCCCAAAAAATAAGACATCTCCTGATAATAAGCCCTATCGGGCTTTTGAGCGCATGGCAATAAGGCCAAGCGCTTATTTCAGGGTTCAAAAAAATATAAGACAGGGTCTTATTTTCAGGGAAACATGGTATACTATTTCCAAAAATATGTAAGAATATTTTTATTATTAAGCTATTAAGTTAGTAGGGCTGTGCAGTGCTTTGGCTTCAAAAGGGAAAAAGTGCAGTAAGAGATGCTGATGTGGTATTTGTGGGGAACTCATTAAAGCAGCTGCATTTTTCCCCCTGGCCTTTGCAGCCATTACATTGGCCCAGTATGATTCAAAAGACTTTTTCCCATCAAAACCAAAACAGTACTGTAACCATTAATAATGCATTAAATCAGATCTAAAAACATTGAGTATATCTTCTCATTAAAATGTAATAAAAATTATATAGCAATATAACTATACAAATATATTATATAATAGAACAAAATAAGTTTAAAAAATAAACCTCGAAGGAATGTCAAGTTGCATGGCAGACAGGAAAAAAGAATAACTTACGATCTACCCTAAACCACCTAGTTATTTATATACTACTGCTAAACATTTAAAAAAATATTTGCAATGTTCTTTAAGTTTAATAAAATTAATGCAATTTTTTAAAGTGAAACAAAATTGCCCATCTTTATTGATGTAGCCACAGACACTATGTCCATAATCTATTATTCCATCCTGCACATACATACATATATATACATATGTATAATATGTATATGTACTGTGTTTCTTCAAAAAGAAGGGCGGGTCTTATTTTCTTTTGACCCCCGAGGCCGTCTTTTTGGAGGGTTCTAATTGTTGACTCACCTTGTGGCAGTGGCACCAACAGCCTCGCCCAGCAGGAGCCTGCTGCTGGCCCACTTCTTCTGTGGCCACTTGCCACCACTCACACACATCACCCCGGCCTCTGTTTCGCCTTCAGATGCCTGCTGGAATGCATCTGTAGCCGATAACAAGAGCTCCGGATTGATCTGGCAGGCATCTGAAGGCGAAACGGAGGCCGGGGCAATGTGTGTGTGTGATGGCAAGAGGCCGCAGAAGAAGCGGCCACAGAAGGCGAGGCAAGTGTTGGGATGGGTGAGGCCTGGTAAGTAGGGCAGCTCCACCCCCACATTCTCACCCTAGCTTATTTTTTACCTGTGTGCCTCGCCTCACCTTCTGCACCCCAGGGTGGGTGGGGTCTTAATTAGGGCTAATTTTGTGAGTGGGGCTTAATTTGATCACATGCGCTCAAAAACGTGATAGGGCTTCTTTTCAAGGTGGGTTGTCTTTTTGGAGAAACACAGTATATATGTGTATATATATAGGTGTATGTGTGTGTATGAAAGTATATATATATGTGTGTGCGTATATATATGTGTGTGTGTGTGTGTGTGTACCTATATATACACACACACATACATATATATCATTATAGTACAAGAAATACTGCTTAATTTGATGAATTAAACAAATATGACACCTCACTTTTTATTGACCACAGTCAGTCAATATGGCTACAATTCTTGCCATCTATCTATCTATCTATCTATCTATCTATCTATCTATCTATCTATCTATCTATCTATCTATTTCTATATCTATATATCTCTATCTCTATCTCTATCTCTAAATCTATATATAAAACCAAGGCTTTAAGATCTTTGCATCAAAGGTGCAATCTATGCTGTAAAGAACAGTACTTATTTGTGAACACTTAACATTTGTTTATTTGGTTTGTACATCATTTTTAGAAATTCCAGGTACAGGACTCTCTCCTCCTATTTTCCTCCACAACACCCTGTGAGTTACGTTAGGCGGAGATCAACACAAAATAACCTCTGGATGAAAGCCACCAACTTTAAAAACTACTTTATTAAATGTTCAGTTCTGATCACAAGTTTAGCACTTCATGATGAAAACTGACCTGACATAATTTATGCTTTTTTCTGCCCTTGTTGGAACTTTTGTCAGAAGTTGTTTTCTGGGGTTCTCTTGGATGTTTCTCACACACATTTTTTCTCTCTGATTTTGATAGGTCTGTCTCTTTGTAAGGCTTCCCTGGTATTCTGGTTAGGAGGCTCAAGTCAATCTTCACAATAAGGGGATATCTTTCATCAGGATCACTGAGCGGTGAAAGGAGTTCCTTCTCTTCCATAGGAGAGAATATTCGTTGCCGTAAAAAACTGTCATCCTCCTCTATGGAGGGTTTAACAGGAGTCCTATTGCTGTCCGAATATTTGGGGGTTTGCGATGAAGGAGGAAGGCTCTCATTCTCATCAGAATCAGAGGAGGAGGTATCTGTTTCAATGAATTCCTTAGATTTCTGAGCGGGTTTGTTTGCCACCTTGCATTTCTTCTTCTCTGTGATAGGCCGAGGGGATGGTTTAGGCTCCTTTTTTATATTTGGTTTTCTGGAGCCTTTTGTGGCTGCTTTATGTCTGTTGGAGGGTATGTTTGTTGCCATGTCCAGGGGGGTTTCACTTTCTATCTTCAGGCCTCCTCTGGGCTCTTCTACTGATGGTTTCTCTGCTTTTTTGGGCTGTTTCTTGCCTACAGTCCTCCTTTGGATCGCACTATCACTTTGAGCAGGTGACTTCTGTCGACCACGATTGCTCTCCGATCCTTTCTGGCTACTTTTTGAATCTCTCCCAGATGTAGAGGATATGGAATCCTTTGATCCACTTTGGTCTGCATATCCTCCCCCTGTGCTCTGATCTCTCCCTTCTTTTTTGTAACCTTGGGTTGATGGGATGTTACTGTCAACAGAAGAAGCTGGTGATACTTTGTGTGGGTTCACCTTGTTTAGCCAGTTGTCAAGCTGCCACTTATTTGTTGGAGGCGGCTCAGGCTAAAGAAAGAAAAGAGGAAAACCCAAATGACAAAATTCTGCATGTATACAGCCTGGAAAAACAGGGATTATTTTGCTCACTTCACTCCTATGGCCCAAAGGCTGTGACTGCATCCAAATTTGAAAAGAGGATCATCTAGAAATGAGAGGAGGGCTGCCACAGCTTGCTAGATTTCTCAACCAAGAGAACTGCACCAGAATGACAGAATTCAGCTCACAATTCATATCATCAACCTGGAAGGAAGCACTGCTCTTTTCAAACAAGCCGATTCAGTGTTACCCAAAATGGCTGGTACAATAATAAAGGACACAAATCAGCAGCACAATCCTCTCTGTTAAGAGAGCTATTCCTAGGGGCTCAGCAAGCACAATACAGAAGCTTCGTTGTGCAATTCAGATATCTGGTTTCTTGACAGCGTCAACCATGACTACAGGTAGTCCTCGACTTACAACCACAATTGAGCCCAACATTCCTGTTGCTAAGCAAAACAGATGTTAAGTGAGTTTTGCCCCATTTTACAACCTGTCTTGCCACAGCTGTTAAGGGAATCACTGCAGTTGTTAAGTTAGCAACATAGTTGTTAAGTAAATTTGGCTTCCCCACTGACTGCTTGTGAGAAGGTCACAAAAGGGGATCATAAGACCCTGGGACACTGCAACTGTCGTAAATATACCAGTCAGTTGCCAAGCATCTGAATTTTGATCACATGACCATGGGGATGTTGCAATGGTTGTTAAGTGTGAAAAACAGTCATAAATCAATTTTTTTCAGTGCCAGTGTAACTTTAAACAGTCATTAAATGAACTGTTATAAGTTGAGGACTACCTGTATTTGTTTACTGTTTTAACATTTGCTTTGTTACTTATAATACATTTTTTAAAATATAACATTTTCAGAAGCTTGGATATGTCATATAACAGTTAGCACATTTTAAACAAATAAGCAAGCCGGAAGGCAATCATTCTGAAGAATGGAAAAGGAAACATATTTTACTTTCCTTTATTTTGGAATATCCCTGTATAATTTTACAAGGGTGACATTTTAAAATCGTCAAGGTGTGTGCACATGCATTTTAACCCACTCTCCCTCTGGAGGATAGACAGTTGTTTGATCAAATCAATGCCATCCATATCCCACCACCTTATTTCCTTCTTTATAGCTATCAATGTGACATTTTGTACAGGTGGTACGTGACTTATGACCACAATTGGAACCAGAATTTCCACTGCTAAACAACGTGGTGTTAAGTGAGTCATGCGTGATTTTACCTTTTACTTTTTCTGCCACATTTGTTAAATGAATCACTGCAGTTGTGAAGTGAATCACATGGCTGTTAAACAAATCAGCTTCCCTCTTTGACTTTCCTTGTCAGAACCCAACTGGGAAAGGTGCAAATGATGATCACATGACCCCAGGATACTGCAACTGTCATAAATACATGCCAGTTGCCAAGCACCCGAATTTTGAACACGTGACCATGGAAATGCGACGGTCATAAGTACAGTCATAAGTCACATTTTTCAGAGCTGTTGTAACTTTGAACAAATTATTTAAGCGAAGGACTACCTGTATCTTAAGTATCGAGTTAATCAATTCACCCAAGAATTCCTGCCTTTGGTGTTTGTTGTGAATTTGAGGATTCCATTTCCATGGAACAAGAAGAATTCCTCTAGCTTTCTCAACATACAAATGTTAAGTTACAGTGTGTAAGATTTGACAAAATTTAAAAGGTAATCAGAACAAATTGAACACATTTACTTCTGCAAATTTTGGAAATCCTGAGAGTAAATAGAAATCATCAGTAGCTTTTTGGTTTTAAGCTAAACAGGCATCAGACTATGCTTGCTGTTAGAAAGTTTTGATTGCAAACAGATTATCTGTATAAACTAATTAATTGATTTCACAAAGCTGTAACATAAAGACCTATTGCTGTTTATTAAAGTATCTGAGGACAATTAATGTCATGGTTGCCAGCCATAACACTATTTGAAAGGCAGAGAAAAAAAACTTACCTCAGGAGATGCACTTTGAGAAGGCTCATTTGCCTCGCTATCGCTGGAACTACTTTCACTTTCTGAGTCTGAACCCGAACTGCTTTCAGACCCACTATGGCTGCTTGAGTCATCCCTAGAATTATCTGCTCCTTCACTTGTATGCTGGGAAGGCTCAGAATTGCTAGGAGAAAAAGGGAATGGAGAACAAAGGCTGAGAGGTTTTAAAATCTAAAAGTAGATTTTAAAACGAGTAACTAAACAACCATGGAAAGGGCTGCATTTGCAGGTAAAATTCCACTGCCTATTATTTCAAACCCAATTCTCAAAAGTAGATTATATGCGACTACCATGCATATTACTTTAATATAACTGTATACTGCCAGACACTGTATCTACATACCTTCCGGGTGTACCTCTTGGTACTGTCTTATCAAAATCCTGTAAGTAAAGGGAAAAATGCAGATTAGCGCAATGATAATTATGGTAATAATAGCTTTGTTAGTATTTTACGGCATGGATAAAGATAGATTATCTGTATAAATGAAAACTAAGGAAAATAATCTGAAATTAGATTGTCAACTCATAGTTTAAATACTACTACACACTTTGTGTAAATTTATATATTAGCTTTTCTTCCTATGACTGGTACCTGAAGTAAGTATACTTAAGAGTACAATCCCAATGTTGCTTTTTAATTTTTAAAGTTTTACTTGAAATGAAGCAAATGATAGAAACAGCGTAATGTTTCCAGTTGAGTTAATTTATCTGGCATGGAACCTCCCACTGACTTTATTTTCTTAACACTTGATTAAACATTTTCTCTAGGCTTTTTATAATGCCCACTGTGATATTTTTTCACTAGTGATATAGTTTATGTGTCCCGTCAGGTCTGTGCAATGCTTTTGATTCTGTTAGAAAGAGGTCCTTTGGAAAGCACAGGGGTAGGAACACAGCACCTATTTGGGACCCACTAAAGCAGAGACATCTGTTTTTATGATTGGGCAGGAAGACTCCCTACAGCAAATCAGTCTTTCTGGATAAAGACAAAGTTGCTTTAATGCATTGGACAGGGATTGAATTGATGCTTCAGTGCACATTGAAGCACCTTTCCAACAGAACCTAAAGCACTGCACAGCCTTACTATTTCTAATTTATTCCTGAATTCAAGATAGATAATCTTTAATAAATGCTTTAATCGGTATAGGTAGTCCTCAATTTATGACTACAATTGAGTCCAAAATTTCTGTTGCTAAGCAAGACAGTTGTTAATTGAGTTTTGCCCCATTTTATGACTTTTTTTGACACAGTTATTAAGCGAATCACCACAGTTAGTAACTAGTAGTTAGTAACACGGTTGTTAAATGAATCAGACTTCCCCATTGATTTTGCTTGTCAGAAGGTCGCAAAAGGTGATCACATGATCTTGGTTCACTGCAACCGTCATAAATATGAGCCAGTTGCCAACCGTCTGAATTTTGATCACACGTCCATGGGGATGCTGCAGTAGTCATAAGTGTGAACAACAGTTGTAAGTATCAGCCCTGGAGGCCATCTTTTTCTTTGGATCTTCAGGGCTACCACACTTGGTGCAGTGGGAAATTGGGAGTGGGGGGGGGGGCGGGGGGGAAGAATGTTGTTACGGCTAGGTATCTCTACAACTCCATTCAATTGGGGGTGTTACTTGGAACCCTGAGAATGTTGCTTTTTTTCAGTGTGTTCTAACTTTGAATGGTCACTAAACAAACTGTTGTAAATTGAGGACTACCTGTAGTGGACACCTTTGTCTAGCTAGAGATGTAGTTTACAGTACAGGTAGCCTTCAGGCATTGTTTTATCAATGGTTCAAAGTTACAATAGTGCTGTCAAAGTTCCAACCAACACACCACCCTTGCGATCATGTGAACACAATTTGGGTGCTTGGCAACTGGTTCACATATGCTGTATGACACTTGCAACATCCTGTGGTCATGTGGACGTGATTTGTGACCTTCCCCTGGCTTGCAGCATCCCAGAGTCCTGGAATTGTCATTTGCAACCTTCTGAGGGAACTTCTGACAAGTAAAGTCAATGGGATAGCCAGATTTGCTTATCAACCGCCTAATTCTCTTTAAGACAGTGGCAAAAGAGTTTGTAAATGGAGTACAACTTACTTAACAACTGGCTTGTTTAGCAATGGAAATTTGGGGCTCAATTGTGGTTGTAAATCAAGGACTACCGTTCCACGTTTTTCACCTTGTTTAAGTTAAGAGTACACTAATGCATTTCACATGTGATTGTCCTTGAAGGTAACTGAATACCAACACATCATATGAGCTGTCCAGGACTGAAGTCCCATTTCAAAGATTTGCCACTAAGGACATGGCTGGGGAGCCACATGACAGCTTTTTCAACTGAGGCATAAAAGTGAGCCTCAGTGACAGCTTCACTATCTTTTTTTTTTATAAGCAATAAAGTTATTATTTAAATAGGTTTTTCTAGAACAAAGATTTTAATTGTGCTGCAATTTAAAACTGAGCTTTAATTTTGTTTTCATTTTTGTCTTGCCTTGGATTAATTTCATTTTTGTGTTTATATTACATTATTTTAATTACATGACAAGGCTCATCAATTTGGGAATAAAAAGGCAGAACAGAAATTAATAGTAATAATCACCTGTTCACCATCACTGTCTTCACTGCTGCTGAGTTTCAAATCATTTATCAGAACACTGGGGTGGAGGGGAGAGAGAGAGGGAGAGAGATGGAAGAAACAATTTTGTTAAAAATATTGTCAGATATACCATATCATGATACTGTCAATTTTCCTTTATTATTAAACTGAAATAGTACTCCAAGAATGATAGTAAGGACTTACAATGCTAACAAAGTCCAATAGTTATTCTGAAAATGCAAGCATTAATTGTAAAATTTCATACTCAGAAACAACATGGTAACTAGCATAAATAAACTATGTTGCAATCATGTCTAGATGCTGCAACAGACCACATCTAACCAAGATTTAAAAAACAATAATAAATCAGGAACAAATTAATCAGAGACTGTAATAACGATTATTTCAGCAATTATAATATAAGTAACTAGCATCACTGAGGCTATAGATAATTTTACAAAAGATCCCAACTAAAAACTGATGCAGTCGATAGCATGCTAAATCCTATTTTTAGATTTATAATTTAGGAACTGTTATAATATTTTAACTGAATTAAAAGTTATTTCACTGAATTAAAAGTTCATTTTCATTCTTTACTCTGATAATTCAAGACCTGGGATTTGAATGCTTTACAATAACTAAATCTGAACAAAATATTCATATTTTTCAAAAAATTAAGACATTACATTAAATGATAAACAATAACAAACATAATATCTTACTTGGTCTGGTTTGAGTCACATCTGGAATAGAAGCAGAAATCGGGTTAAACATTTTCAAGCTAAAAGACTTCAAAGTAAAAATTACACGAGTCATATTTTATTTACATTCAGACTTGACTTCTATGCATGCAGCAGAAAAGATGCTAAAGGTAAAGAAATGGATTGTAACTGCTGCAGACTGCATATGAGACATATCAGTTTCAAGCTCTTAATACAAGGCACCAATTACCTGCTTTACTCTCCTATGTGGCATGGATAATCAGAAGCAGCATTTGAGAATGTTTCTAAATAACTTTAGAGATGACCAAGAGATGTTTGTCTCTACAAACAAGTAGGGTTTTAGTAGGACTCTGAAACCTGCTCACCATATTTATGTGGTAAGGGCTCTTCTGTTAAAGCTGGGAAAAAATGGAATCATCACTGCAACTGCATTGCACTTACAGTAATACTATAATACTTTAAACTATAAAAACCCTGGAGAGGAAGTCTGAGATTGCTGTTTAAATGTTGAACCATAAAGTATTCAAACTGTCTGTCCAGTTCTAAGTCTAGAGCAGAAATAGGAAATATCAACTCTATAGTTGTTTGGATTGCCAAAGCACTGGGAGGCCTCAACTTGAGAATGTCCTTGATTGCACATACAAATGTAGAAGAAGACAAGGAGTAGGAGCAAGGAGGTATCGAGCGGCCTAAAAGGCAATTCAATAAGTCGTAGACTCCCAGCAAACATCAAAGCAATAGGCTGGCCTGGAAATCAAAAACATCCTATTCCAAACATTTCCATATTGCTGCCAAGTAAACTGAATATGCATCGAGCCTTACGCAATTTTACAATAAATAAAAATGTATTTATTAAATAAAATAAAAATTATGGAAACCTAGGTCCCCAGTCATTTCCTGCTCTCCAGGACAGACTCCATTTCTGTTCTTTAAGACAGGAAGTGAATTATTTAGAAATAAGTATATCTTAGTGTAGCAAACACAGGTATCTTGAAACAGTATTTGTATAAATATGACCATTGCTAATTAGTTTATATTCACTCAAAATTATAGCCATACTTACGATTTAGACTGGTGGCCATTAGAGGTTTTCAGTGAAGGATTATATCTTTCTGAGCAGAAGAAAAGGAGAATGTAATGGTTAAAAGTGAACTCTGAAAACATATGCACTAACTAAATTATACACTTTATAGACTATAATGGCCCAGATTGACATTGCAAGATTGGACAAGTTTATTATTTCAGAAAAAAAACTTTGTAAATGGATGGTCTGCTTATTTTAGACCATGGAAAGTGAGTGCTGCTTCTGGGAGAATGAAGGGACACTTTTGTATAAAATGTGCAACAACCATCACTCGTTCAGGATTTCAATGTAAGCAAAATACAGTACATTCAAGCTTACTATATTAGCAAAATGTTAGATACAGGGCAAAGATGGCATGGAGAGGAACCTGGTAAGAAATAAAGAAAGAAGGCAAAATGTTTGCGAGCCCTGACACTCAATTGAACACTATATACATGGAGTAGATCAGTCATCCAAGTTATAGAAGAATAGTCTGATATTTCAAATTGCATGCAGTTATACCAGTTAGAATGCTAGTTATAATTATGTTTAACACAATCATTTTTAAAAGAAATTTGTTTTAAAATTGGAATCACTCCAATGTCAGAAAGTTAAAGAACAGGAAAATTATCTCACAAAGGTCTGGCATAGACGTTGCCTGCTTTCAATTCTGTCCCAGTTAGAAAAGCAAGTAAAGACAGCTCTGCTGGTGCTTATTTTTCTTATTTGTGGATATTATAGGATTCATGAATCATTTCTATAGCTTCAAATATATATCAGATTCAAAATATATCATAAAATTCTCAAATTTAGCTACAGAGCAAATGTAAGGAAATACAAAATTAATCATAAAATGTCAAATATTCTAACCTTATGTCCTATTAAACAAGCAAGTATACAACCACGACTGGAAGAATGCATGAGCTATGTGATTCAGTTCTTTCCTCTGCTGAAAGTCCCACCAGATCAGTATTAAATGTTTATTTATATTAAAAAAACAGCATTCCAAAGGAAATCTGAATGTAAAACATCAAAATTAGACAAAGGAATAATTCAATAGAAAGATTAAGCATGTACTTACTTTGATCCCCAGTGCCAAAATTAGATTGCTGAGTTTCCTGTACAAAACAGAAAAAGTTATGTTATTAACAGAACATATTAAGAAGAAAAATTTAAGCTACCAAATATCATGCAGCTTTTACATTTGCCAGTCCATTGTGTAATTTAAGTAATCATAAATGCAAAGTTGGTATATGGAAAAAGTACAGGTAATCCTCGACTTACAATAGCACTTAGGACCAGAAATACTGATGCTAAACCCAATCTTTGCAGTCTAGATTGTCATTATTAACCAAAGCCCAAGGTTGTTAGGCAAGGCAACTCTCTGCTGGCTTCCCACAACCAAATGCAGTGGGAAAGCTGACAGTAGTTGCAAGTGCCAGGCCAGCAAGCAGGTAAGTGGCTACTGCCAGGTGAGGGTAGGGTACCCTTGTGCATGAGAGGCCATGCCAGGCCTCTCATGCACAAGGGTATGCATGAGAGGCCTGGCATGGATCAGGAACGGTGTGTAAGAGTTACATCAAGAGTTGTAGAGAGTGTGCAGGGTTGCATGTTGGGGAGTTTTTGATGTGGATCGGGGAGTGTACAGGTAGGGGAGGGTGCATGAGGATGCAATGTATGTCAGGAACGGTGCACAAGCAGCCAACATGAGCACAAAAAGACTGGGGGAGGGTGCACGGGTGGGGAAGACTTACCCCAATGACTTGTGACCTTTTCTGCTGGCTTCTCCATTGACTTTCTGAGGAAGCCAGCAGAGAAGGCTGCAAATGGCAATCACATGATCACAGAGTGCTGCAACTGCTCATAAGTGTGAACCAGTTGCCAAGTGTTCAGAATGCAAGATCATGGGAATGCTGGGATAGGCAGAACTCCAAGAACTGATGGTAACCATCATTTGTTTAGCACCGTCATAATTTTGAACAGTTGCTAACCAAATGATGAAATTGAGAACTATCTAAAATACAGCCCTACATTTATCACTACCTCGAATTCTGAAATTAGGATCAGATGTACCAGATCAGATGCAGATGATTACATTTTTAGAGGAAATCTGAGAGAAACCTGTCTTATTTAAATTTTGGGTATTTAATTTGATTTTTCCTTTGTTATTGATATGTGTGGTATCATCATGTCCATATCAAACAAACTTTCTGAAGTCTTTAGAAAGAAGGTTATAGATGACGAGTTTGAAGTGATTTTAAAAGTTTGCCAAACAACTGGACATAAATCATTCCATTGTCCAGAAGAAAATGTAGACATTTTCTACAAATGGGGAAAATTTCAAACATTGGCCAACTTTTTCTGGGCAAGCTATTCCAGCACATCAAGCCCAAGAGCAGTATGCAAGATGCTCAAAGAAATCTCTAAAAATTCCAGTATTCCATCCATGACTTACAAGTAACTCTAACTCCTATCAAGGTCAAAGGGATTAAGTCTAGCTTTAGAAAGAATCTGTACAAGTTAAATCTTTGTCCATCAAGAACATTAGGCAAGGCTAAAGTTTGCTCATAAACACCAAAGAAAAAAAGCCAGGATTTCTGAAACAATGTGCTCTAGAAAGATGAGATAAAGATGTGAGTTTTTGGTCACAGTAACAAAAATGGTGTAGGCAAATACCAAAGACAGCATTTCACCAGAAGAACCTGACACCAACTATAAAGCACGGTAGGGAAAATATAAGAGCTTAGAGTTGCTTTTCTGTATCAAGGCCTGGGCAGTTCACCATCATAGGATCCATTATGAACTCTCCATTGTACCAAAGAGTGCTTGAAGATAATGCAAGACCACCTGCCAGAAGACTGAAGCTCAACCTACAGTATGACAATGACCCTAAACATTCCAGTAAACCTATCAACAAATGGCTGGAGTGGAAATGGAGGGTTCTGGATTGACCCAATCAAAGCTCAGATCTAAATCCCATCAAGATGCTATGGGATAGTTTCAAATGAGCTATGCATGCAAGAAGCCCCTCAAAACATTGCACAGCTGATAAAATTCTTCCCAGTCAGTGTCTGAGACTGGTAGATCTATTATAAGAAATGCCTACTGGAGTTGCTTCTACCAAAACTGTACTTGCTTTTTCCACAGAATGTAACGGTATCTGTTAATTTTTTGTTGAATAAATGATTGCAAACTAATTTTTCATAGTTTATTTGTTCAATTATATCACCTTTCTGTTTATATACTGTTTGAAGTTAAAATATTGATATACCCACATATTTTAGAAAAGAAAGAAACTATATATGGGGTGTATTTATCATTTCATGTGTCTGCAAATGTTAGTAATTTTTATAGTTGGAAACAATGACTTCCTTTACAATATTATGCAGACTCACCTGAATCTTTCAAACCTCACTGATAACACAATCTAGAAAAATCTATTTTCTTCATAGACCTTGGACTATGAACACAATTAGATGAATAATGTTGACATGTTATAGTCCCGTTATGGCGACCCTATGGCACACGGAGCCATATTGGTGGGCACGTGAGCGTTGCCCTAGCTGAGCTCCAGCACGCATGCACGTGCTGGCCAGCTGATTTTCGGGCCTTCTGGGCCCACCGGAAGTCAGCAAATGGGCTGTTTCCGGCCTCTGGAGGGCCTCCAGGATGGTGGTAGTGGGGAAGGCTGTTTTCACCCTCCCCAGGCTCCTAAAAAGCCTCTGGAGCCTGGGGAGGGCGAAAAACAGGCCTACCAGGCCCACCTTGCCATCACATGCCAAAAGTGGGGGGAGCACGGAGTGGTTGCATGCGCATGCATGGGGGGGAACAGGGCACATAGAATTATGGGTGTGGGCACGCATGCACGTAACCACCCCGCACTTTCCCCGCTTTTGGCCCGCGATGGCAAAAAGGTTAGCCATCACTGTTATAGTGCCATTTATTTATATATATTCACAACTTCTATAAACTTTTGTTACACTGAATGCTCCAGAAAACAGTTAATCTACTAGTTATTATTAATTGATTTTCTAACTCATACCAGAAAATTCTCATACACAATTTTTCCTTTTATAAACAATGTATGTTGAAAAATATTTGCCTAAATGCTTTAATTCATCATTTATTCCACTCAAATTACTGAATTATTAGTTGCTATTAAACACAGGCAAATTTGTTATCTAGAAACATTTGGGCAGGTGGTTTCTCATTTTGTCATTTTTCTATTCAGGTTTTGACCAGAGAAACATTAAACCACATAAAAATTATTTTATGCTATAAAATATTTGGTATCTTCAGAAACTCTGCTTAACCCCAAATTATCAATTTACAGTAAGCAAAGGAGGTGGGAGAAGGGATTAGTAGAAGCTATTTTAAGATCTGCAAATAGATGTCTAGGTAATTGGCTATAAATCTTCAAGTTTTGCCAAGCAGAAATTATTTGAAAATAGGAACATTTTTAAAAAGTTGTTGAATAAAAAAATTACTGAGAAAAGAAATAGAAATAATTTCATGAGAAATTGCCATAATTGCAATATGGGGCACATTTCATGTGCTCAGATACAAGGTTGGGTTTTTTTAGCATATGACTACCACTTCCCAGTCTGTTAGATTCTCTGATTCTGCCCAGTGCAATAATGATTTATTAAGAGATTGTCACAGTTTTGGATATTTTTTCATTAGAATAAACTGTCACCAAACAGTACATGTTTGTTAGAAAACTAGCACTGGCCCATTTACAATGGATTTTCTATAGCACTAATAAGACCCTTTGAAACAATGAAGTGGCATGTTAGAAAACAGCACAACTCAAGCTTCCAGATAGGATTCCAGTTATGAATAATTAATATGATTTAATGTGTAGAATATATTAAAAAGATGTTTAACTACAGGTGAAAAATAGTGCAAAATGACTTTAACATCAAAACAGTTACACAAGAAAAAGAAGTTTCAAGCCCACAAAATAAGCAAAGTGTTGAGTTGAAATAAAGAGATTCTGAAAATCATGCTTCAGAAAATATTGTTTCCTCATCCCAGGTTTATTTGATTTCTAACAATAGCTACTTGTAATATTTAAAGCATTATTCATTTACCTTTGTTGGGAATGGAAACTTTGAAGGTTCAGTTTTGCAAGGTGTGTGTATTGCAGTAAGTGGCGGTGGCCAAATATGGGTCATCTCCTGTTGTGAACAGAAACCCAAAACATTAGAAAAATTCTAATAAAACACTAAAACATTCTCTTTCAATACAATACAATTATGCCTACAGAACACTATCAGTGTCACTCAATCATTTTTTAGACAGTGTTTCTCAACCTTAGCAAGTTTAAGATAAATGGACTTCAACTCCCAGAATTCCTCAGCCAGGCTGGCTGGGGATTTCTGGGAGTTGAAGTCCACGTGTTTTAAATTTGCAAAGGTTGAAGAACACTGTTCTAGATTCACCTTAATCTCTTTCCCAATGATAATCACCCAACTCCCCTTTCACTTCTCAACTCCCCAACTACAGAGCTATAAGCAGAGATGAATCTATTCTGGACATTTAAAAGTAGAGTAACTAAAATACTGAATGGAAAGTATAACTGGAAATTTCAATCATTTGAGTCCATTTACCAACTGATTCCATTTTTTTGACATCTGAGTCAATGAAGATCTCTAGCTACTGGATTTATTGCCTAAATAAAGTTGAGGCCAAATTGATAAAATGGAGATACTGTAGGTTGCTATTTCCATGTTTGAAAAATAGATATAACACATTCTAGTCAGGGCTACATTCCTATCATGAAATAAGTTACTAGATTTGTATGCTGCTTAATTCCCTGCAACTCTGAGCAGCACCCAACAGCAAAGAAAGAAATTACTATAAAGCCAATAAAACTTAAAAGGTAAAGAATGGAAGACAAGTAAAGTGAGAGAATTCTTCTGCGAAAATTCACTAAAGCCTCAAGTGGCTTCAGGACAGCAGAATGCCTTTAATAAATTTCAGCTGATTTCCGAGTGTTTCGGGAATGATCTGAGAATGATAATCCAGTTCAGTTTTTTGACTGGATTTCTATTTGTTACTGTTCCTTGATGATGACCTCAAAACCTTAATGCAGAATGCAGCAGCTACAACTGGTACAGTTAGATGGGATCAACATAACATTTCATTTAAAGACTAGACCACCTGTCTATTCTCAACCCATTTCAAGATGCTTAAGTTTGCCTTTAAATGCTTAACTTGCTTGGCAAACAGGTACACAAAAGATCACTTCTTCTTATATCTTCTTATACTAAGATCTTAGGGGCAACTTTTCTCTGGATAAAATTGTTTGTGTGTGTGTGTGTGCGTGCGCATATGTGAAGGGGTCATTCACAATGGCACCCATTCTTTGAATATTTTAGTTGCAAAAACTTGCCTGGCACTAACATTGTTACTTGGCACTATTCAAAACACAATTTGCTCAGTAATTTTAAAATAATCAAGCATTATGTTAATTGCCTTTGAACTATTTTAATGAAGATTGTGTTTACCTTGCATGGTTCTTTCAATTGGAATTAGTATTTTTAGGTATAACTTAATGGCACTAAAATACCAGTGGGTTCATAAATGATGATATGAATTCTGTTCATAAGAACATTGTAGACATGCAGTATTACTGTTCCTTTACCAGCTGTCAAAATGCTCATTGAGGGTCTAGAACTGACCTTTTCAGGATAAAAGGGAATTAATTAACATCATTAGTATCTGTTCCAGCGAAATGCTCCTTGTGAATTTTGCTTTCTACTTTTATTTTAATATAGGAATATGCTTTTCTTTCATAATTTTAAAAAATATACCTGAAACTTAAATAACTTTTAAATCGTTTTTAAATAATTAAACAAGTAAACAATAATAGCCAATGTAAACGTATAACTTACTTTTAGAATCTCATCCACACTGTTCATATCACCGGATGCTGAAGCCTATAAATCAATATTGCAAATTTAATTGAACTGCATGTCAACATGTTAACATCTCCAAAAGCTACAGGCCTATCTAAAATGTCTAATGTCTTCCTACGGTACAGATAGTCTTTGACTTACAACCATTGGTTTATTGACCGTTCAACATTACAACAGAACTGTAAAAAGTCACTTATGACTGCTCCTCACATTTATGACTGTCACTGCCTCCCCACAGTCATGTGATTAAGGGTATATATTTATTATGGTTGCGGTTTTGGGCTCATTTGATCAGCATTTGGCACCTTCCCAACTGGATTCCAAAAAACAAGGTCAATGAGGGAAACCAGATTCACTTCATAATCACAATTCACTTAACAACTGCAGTGATTCGCTTAATAACTGTGGGGAAAAAAGTCATAAAATCAGGCACAACAGATTTAACAACTGCTGGTCCCAATTGTGGTCATAAGTCAAGGACTATTGTAAAGAGCTATTGTTTTTGTGGTCAGGTCTTTAACTCAATTAGGTACATTCATCTAATAACTGTGATCCTCCCCTGCCCCCCAATCATTAGAAACCTCACTAAAATTCACAATGGGCTGAATAAAGCCCACAGAAATCTACAGCTGTTTACCAAACTATAATTCTTAATTAAAAGTAAGAGGCAAATAGTTAAATATATGAGTGGAGAGCTCTCATGTCATCCCTGCACCTTGCCTTTTTAAATGATGCCCTTGGATCCAGAATGAAAAGAAAATACTGAATTAATGAAAAAATATTTTTTAATATAAAAATGTGCATGTTGTATTTTGTAATTGGAAATAATCATTTAATCAAAATGCATAACATACTAAAAAGTAATGATACCAGTTTTTCTGGGAGATTATCAGTCTACACAGGAGATGGAATAAAAACATAAATTACAATTTTTAATCATTCATCATATATGATATAGTGTTTTTATTTTAAATATAGAAGGTAGATATGGAATTTGGATCTGCTGGCAGTAGTTTGGATTCAACTCACAGAACAACTAATGAATTAGTATTAAACCTTAGAATTTAGCTTATTTAATATAAATGAGGTTGCCAAAATTAGCTGTTTGCATTTCAAATTATCAGAACCAAATATCAACACAACAAAAAACATTACTATGTACTACAGTTGACTAGTGCCTTAATACTAAATTAATAATAATATGCAGAACTAATATTTTAAGTGATGGATTTCTTTTTACTTTTTATTATTTTAATGTATTTAATGGACTTTATATGAAAATGTACATTCTTAGTAACTTTCTTAATGCTAGTTTATATTTACAGAATATCAAAGTAATCATGGTTCTGACTGCTATAACTATAATTTTAAAAAGACAACTTACATCAAGTGGTTGAGAAGGAATTTTCAGCTTTGTTAGATGTACTTTGCTACTAGGTTTCAGTTCATTCATATTGTTGCTATGATTCTGGCTACTGTAGTGTTCAGAAGATAACTTTGGTTCCATTGATTCCTGACCATCCATAGGTCTTACATAGGCAGTAGGCTTCTGCAACATTGTACTTGACTTTGACATAAGCGAAGGAGGAAACGACTGGCTACCACTAGAAAAAGACGGTACACGGGAAGGTGAATCCCAATTGGCATCTGGGTCTCGTGGAGATTTGGATCTCTGATGTTCTTTACCATGATGGTCATTTCCATGAGATCTGGAATGGCTGGGGTTCAGAGAAGAAACAACAGATGTTTTTCCAGGACTGGAAGAATGGGATTTTGAATGTTCTGATCCATGCTGGGTTTTTTTGCGGCTACTGCTGCTTCCACCACTGCTGTATGAGTCACGATCATGCCTCTGTCCGCTATTGCTAGTGCTGTTGCCACTGTTGCGTTGACTACTATGTCCACCCTGTAAACCTGAGGACCGTTTCTGTGACTGGGAAGAAGTGCTAGGCGCTGGGCCTACAGGCGTCCATTTGCTGCTCTGATGAGAGCCAGTATTGTGTCTCTGATCACCAAAGAAACTTTGGTTTGATTTGTCATCTGTTGCTGATGGACCTGTCGGTTTGGGAATTCTAACAAGTTTCTGGAGAGACTGGTCACCTATAAGTTCCGTCATTTCATCATAGTTTCCAAGCATGCTTTGGATACGGCTAGACAATTTATCTTCTTTGCTGGTCTGTATGAAGAATGAATAAAATGAATAAAAAAGATGCATAATGTTACAGTATTAAAATATACTGTAATCATATAAATTTTACATCAGATGAATTATTAAATGGTAATGCACATTTGAAAATTAACCATATAATCTTTTTCAGCAGCCATCTGAAGCATCTGGCATTTAAAGCAGTTATTTAAAAACCAATCCAACTGCCCAGAAAAATAATACATAATTATTACCTAGAAATATCACTAAAATTCCTTTGATTTTTAAACTACACTTGTTGTCTGAAAAGGCTGGGTTTGTACCAGGTGTGCCATGCTTAGTGAAACACAAATGGAAGTGGAGATTGCAAAGACTTTATTCTGTGCAGAAAAAGAACACAGGGGCATCACTCTGTAGGCCTGTGCAAAGGCCACTCCATCAATAGTACAGTTTTTATACTGTGTTTCCCCGAAAATAAGACCCTATCTTATATTTTTTTGAACCCTGAAATAAGAGCTTGGCCTTACTGCCATGCGCTCAAAAGCCTGATTGGGCTTATTATCAGGGGATGTCTTATTTTGGGGGGAAATAGGGTAGTTATTTCTTCAAAAGCTCACCTTACGCACATTCCTTTTAAGTCATCTTATCCATGTTACCAGAGTTCAGCCAATATTGCTTAGCTAGCATAATCAGCATTAACTAGCAGCAATCAGCACTTCTGTCCCTAATTTCCAGTGACAATTAGCACATTATACCATAGTTAGTACATTGCCCCCTAGTTCTTCTTTTCCCAAGACATTGCCTTGTCCTATGATAAGTGTGGGATTTCATTTGAGCAAGCATTCTCGATTATTTTTGCTTTTGCAAGCATTCTTGACTATTCTTGTAAGATACTAAGTATCAAGGCCTATATGCTTCTGAATTTTAGCTACTTAATATAAAGATATTAGGAGAGGGGCCTTTTAGCCTTTCCATGACACTCGCTGCAAACAGAGTTTTGTATTTTCCGTGATTAACTGGAAGAACTGGTATAAATTGGAACGACAGATTGCAGGTAAAGCTGAAAGTAAAAGGTTTCTGGATGTATAGGCCCTGAAAAACCAGCAAATAAAGAGCTCTCTTCACTATGCATATTATTTGGAAACTATATAATTTTCATCAAACTGAGTATGCGTATTAAAATGATTTTATTTCTGCAGTAAAAATATTCAACATTTTGATTTCTTATATTAAAAGTGCATCATCATTTCTAGCTTTTTTTAATGTGGTTTTTGTAAATGTGCCTTTCCTTTAGGAAACCGTAAAAAAAACATTTTATATCTTGCAATATAAATTTAAGGCAGAAACCTGAAATCCTATTTTTAAAGAAACTGATAACCTGGCCTCCTAGCGGAACTGTCACTTGTAACATATAAAGAGCTTTGTTCACAGTGTTGAATGACTGACTGACTAAGCAAAAATGCAGAAGAGGAACCTTCTTTTTCTAGAGATCTGTATCTCCCTTCTTTGAAATCAAGGCATGGCGCAAACCATATAAGGCAAGAGAGGAGAACATTCTCAACACTGAAGGAAGGGTTACGTCCCAATAACCTGTGGGCCTCCCAGTACTGCTATACGTTCAGATCTAAGTTTCTGGATGTTTATACATGGATGGTGGAAATGGGAAGACATAGCATTTCCATTCCAACTCTGAAAGCTGAAAAATGTTTTATAACGATGCTGAATTTGTGGCAAAATTTCAATCAGTGTGGGAGTTTTAAAAATGAGAATAGAAAAGTCCATGATTCCTCCCACTCATTTCCATTCTTGTTTGAAGGGGAAAAAATTAATAGTAAATAGTGTCTCTAAAATCTGACCATTCTGTAAGGCAATGTTGGAGAGCCTGGAATACCAGGCCGTAGAATGGTATAGATCTCATAGAGAGAATGGGAAAAAAAACAAAAACAAATTGTCAATCTTTGCATAGAAGATGATTTAGAAAGATATAAATGCTTATGTTAGAAGAAAACAGATTTTTAAAAATCATATTCAGAACTTAAGCTTTAAAAATAAACTAGACTTTGAAGTAATTAAACTAAAGAACCAACACAAGTTAACTGAATAAAATAAATATACAAAGAAATAGAACCTTTCTCAAAGGACAGAAATATAACAATTTCTGCAACTAAATCATCACCCATACAGTTAAGAAGTAAACAAATAAAGCTAGCCAGCAAGTAAATAAATAAAGCATTTTGCACTAAAAATTCAAACCCAAATACATTTATATGTGCTTTATATTACATTGCCAATTGTCTCCAATTTTTCCTTTCTATTCAGTACACTCCAGCAGAGCGTACTGAGCACCCATCTATCAAATATTGCCATCTTGTGGAACTGAGGTGGTTTGATTTCTCTATTGTGGCCCCATCCTCTAGAACAGCATTCCCACTCTCCAAAATAAGAACTATATTCTCTCTTCTAGCTTGGTCCCAGGCCTCGAGTTAATATATTATTTATTTTATTTTATTTATTTATTTCCCACATTTATTATTTTTATTGTATTTTGGGGGCCCTCGGCTCATTCTGTTTGATTTATGTTACTTTTAAAATTGGTTTATTTTTATACCCTGTTTCCCCCAAAATAAGACATCCCCTGATAATAAGCCCAATCGGGATTTTGAGCGCATGGCAATAAGGGCAAACGCTTATATCAGGGTTCAAAAAAATATAAGAAAGGGTCTTATTTTCCGGGAAACACAGTATATTTTTTAAAATTTAATTTTATTGTTTCATACACCATCCAGTGTCAGTGGAGTTGTCCAACTATAACATATCTGAATAAACAAACGTCACTGGACTGTTTAATGCAGATTTTATCTACTTTTAATTTTCACCACACGTATTTATCTTCCTGTACTAAGAATGTTATTGAAATCAAAGATGACTGAAAAACAAGTGGGAAAACTTTTCCTTCCTTCTTCTCTATTATTTCCCTCTTTTAAAAATAATATTTAAATACTACATACTTAATACTAGTAAAGGTAATAGTACCTTTAAATAAGGGGACAAGAAAAGCAGTAACATATTGTCTACTCCCCTCTTTCAGTCTTAAAGAAAATGAAAGCACAAATAAAAATAACAGTTTATGCTTAAATAATGTATGCTCTCATGATTAGGAAAATAACTCAATTGCATGAAAGAAACACGTTTTGCAGCATCAAAGTGAATCTCTTATATACAAACAGCCAGGTACTAGAAATATCAAGCCCTAACAATTACCTTTCATCTATAGAAAACATTCTCCGCAAATCTCAATAATGCTACTGTCTTGAATCACTCTTTTGCTACAAGGCAAGAGTACATTGTAACAATTATCTCTCCAAGTACTGTTAACCATAATTCTATTCTACCAATTCATATTTAGAAAGTTCGGGGGGGTCAAATGGTTTGAGCTGTCAGTCCTGGGATATTAATAAAAAAATGTTGACATGAACGAGCTTGTATTATTTATTTTATTTTATTTTATTTCCAATTTATATACCGCCCTTCTCCCTGAGGACTCAGGGCGGTGTACAGCCAGAATAAGAACATAAAATACAAATATTAAAAAACAGTTAAAAATATATATAAATTTGGCCCAGAAGTTAAGAAATCACAAACCGATTAAAACAATTTAAAAAATTTCTTCTGAAGCCAGCCCGGCTTGCTGGAAAAAATGGGTTTTAAGGGCACGACGGAAGGCATTGAGGTCATGGATTCTCCTTATCTCTGGGGCAACTGATTCCAGAGGGTAGGTGCCCCCACAGAGAAGGCCCTCCCTCTGGGGGTCACCAGCCTACATTGTTTGGCTGATGGCACCCTGAGGAGGCCCTCTCTGTGGGAGCGCACGGGTCGATGGGAGGTCGTCGGTAGCAGCAGGCAGTCTCGCAGATAGCTAGGCCCTATGCCATGGAGCGCTTTAAAGGTGATAACCAACACCGGAAACCAGTGCAGCTCACGCAGGAGCGGTGTTACATGGGAGCGCCATGTTGCTCCCATCACTACCCGCGCTGCTGCATTCTGGACCAGCTGGAGCCTCCGGGTGCTCTTCAAGGGGAGCCCCATGTAGAGAGCGTTGCAGTAGTCAAGGCGAGAGGTGACGAGGGCGTGAGTGACTGTGCACAAGGAATCCCGATCAAGAAAGGGCCGCAACTGGGGAATCAGGCGAACCTGACAAAAGGTCCCCCTGGTTACAGCCATCAGATGTTCCTCCAAGGACAGCTGCATATCCAGGAGGACTCCCAGATTGCGAGCACTTTCAGTGGGGGCCAAAGACTCACCCCCAATAGTCAGTGATGGAGTCAACTGACTATATCGGGATGCCGGGAGCCACAGCCACTCTGTCTTGGAAGGGTTGAGCTTGAGCCTGTTCCTCCCCATCCAGATCCACACAGCCTCCAGGCACTGGGACATCACTTCAAGGGCATCGTTGGGGTGGCCTGGGGTGGAGATGTACAGCTGGGTGTCAGCAGCGTACTGATGGTATCTCACCCCAAAGCCACGGATGATCTCGCCCAGCGGCTTCACATAAATGTTGAACAGAAGGGGCGAGAGGACCGATCCCTACGGCACTCCACAGATGAGAGGCCTCGAGGTCGACCTCTGCCGCCCTGCCAACACAAACTGCGACCGGTCGGAGAGAAAGGAGGAGAACCACCGCAACACGGTGCTCCCACCCCCAACTCTTCCAGCCGGTACAGCATGATGCCATGGTCGATGGTATCATTAAGATCATTATTCCTAACGATCTTAACATTTCATTAATAGGTCTATCAACATCAACTTTAAAAAAAAAATAATGTAAGTTTACAAAACATCTTTTTTCCTCTATATTTGCATTTAGAGTGTAAGGTTCAAATTCTTATTTTAATGTTTCTAGAATACTGATTATATTACAGTATATACTACATTTACTTAGAAAGTTCATCACAGTACTCAATTTACAGAAAAAATATTATCTGTGGTGTGATCATTAAGAAAAACAACAAACCTCATGCACTTACAACTTTATATGGTTCAGCAAAAAGAGGAGAATTAGGTGGGAAAGCTTCTTCACCCTGTTGAATTTCTTGATTACGCCTCTCTTTTTCTTTAATACGCAGCGCATTCCGATCTTCACGGTTCATGTTGCTATAAAGGAAAACAATGTAATTATATGACAGGGTACAGAAAGTGATTCTGCTTTTTACACCTTGACAGTCTGAAGCTTTGCTCTCTCTTTACAAAAAAATATTCTAATGCACGTTGTTTTAAAACTAGAAGTGCCTAAACATCAGAAATTGTCTTATGCATGCATACTGACAAAACCTAGCCATTTACTTTCATAAGTAAAGTTATGCTGCATTCTTTAAATAAACTAGTAAATGTATTGTCTAATTTTTTAAAAATTACAGTGTTACCTCGGTACTCGACTGCTTTGAAACTCATTGAATTTGGTACTCGATGCATTTTGACGCAAAATTTTTGTCCTGGTACTCGTCGTTTGTTGGGTACTCGACCCGCAAGCTAGAACTTGTTGGTGTCAATTGCCTCGTGACTTGCTACCCTTTCAGCTGAAACAAAGGGTCACGCATTAGTCATGTGGTTTGTTTGGTACTCATTTTTAGTACTCGTTTCACCTCCCGGAACCAATTAATGACAAGTACTGAGATACCACTGTAATTTTTATTGCTTTTTAATCAACAAAACATAAGAATGATAACGATACATTGTCAAAAACCCCCACATTAAAATGTTCTTACAAAAACTGAAAAAATATGACACATATATCATAACAATAATTTTATATATATACTTGTCTAATGCAAATATTATTCAAATATGTAAATATTTCTAATACATTTATACAACTTATTGTACTCTGTATAAATGAGTCCTATATTTCATTATGCTTGTCCTTACAAAATCTACATCTGTAGACAATCCACTCGTAGGTGGCAAAGGCAAAGGTCTTCAATTCATTGAAAGAAAGGGGCCATAAATTTATATTTCCAATGCTGCAATATCAGTATTTTGACATAATAAAAACTCAAAGAATCCATTTACATTTATTGTCCAATTGTCAACTTTCATGTACTAGGTGTGCAGTTTAAGACAGTAATACCCTCTGAGAATTTTTGCTTTTGTTGCATAATCATACTTTCTCCAAAATCTTGGGAAATGAGATCATTGTAAAAACATGTATTTTAAAGAAGCATTATCCTTATTACACCTCCAACAAAATTCCGGTTTTGACAGTCCTTTTCTATACAAACATAATGGAATCCAATCAATTCTAAATATTATTTTTGTTGTTTAAGTAAATGTATTGTCTAATTTCATATTTAAAAAGTTATTTTTTTTAAATAATTGAGGACTTTTGAATAAAGTACAGGCAGCCCCTGGCTTATGTCCATTTATTCAGTGACCTTTCAAACTTGTGACAATGCTGATCAGTGGTACTTATGACTAGTGCTCAGATTTTCAGCTGTTGCAGTGTCTCCATGATCATAATTTACAACTTTTCTTGCTGGCTTCCCAGAAGCAAAGTCAATGGAGAAGCCATCAGGAAGTCAGAAGGCACAGTCACGTAAGATCCTTTCTTAATGATGACAACTCGGAGTGCCTAAACTGTTGTTGCTAAGCAGCATGGTCACATGACATTGTGCTCTACGACTGTGTCACTTAGTTATGGCAATTCTAGTCCCAACTGCTGTTGTAAAGACTGCCTGTTTTTTATTCAAAATTCTTACCAGCAAGAGCTGTTTCTTCATATATATATACAAAACTTGTAGTCCCTCATCTCTTTCTCTCTGTGTCAGTCTTCTTGCTCCACAGAATGTCTCTACTCTTCAAATGCTCTCTAAAAAGGATTTGTTTGTATTCTAAATCTATACTTTAGTAAATAGCTCCAAAGTTATAGCAACCTGTAAAACACCTTTCTCACAAAATAAAAAAGCTACTACTTATTCTGGGTTAACAACCCATCTTTACATAAACTTTATCTATATTCAGATGTTCAGTTTTGAACTCAATCTTATGTACTGTCAACTAGCTTTTTATGAAATATTTTTTACTGTGAATATATGATATATTCATATATTCCTTGGAAAATATAAGGAATTATGTTTGAAATGTTAGCTCCTGTTTGATTTGTAACAACAAGAAACTGCATTTTACCCAAAACAATCCAAGTGGTACTGTGTTTATTTATAAGATTATGCATTTGCAAAATAAGATCACTCAAACTTCAATGTTTACATTAAACAGCACATAAAATGTGACTAGACGGCATGAAGCTCACTTAATACTTCAGTTAACATTATGTAAACAAAAGGCTAATAGCTACGGTAGGTACAAAACAGCTATAGCAGCTAAAACAGATATAAAAAAAAAAATATGTGAGAAGGATATTAAAGTTCCCTTGGGTAATCAAATATATTTCAAGAAAAAAGAATAAATATCAAAGAAGGTCATTCTCTAAAATGTTAAAAATAAAGTTAGATTCCTTTTTTTAACCATTACCAGCCACCCATACAATACAGGTAGTCCTTGACTTGCCACTGATCACTTAACTGGTTGAAGTTATGGTAGATCCCCCCAGAGCTACCTATGATCCATTTTCAAAGTTACGACAGCTGCACCCACTTCTCCATAGTCATGTGATCACACTTTAGGCACTTGGAAATTTATTCACCTTTACAACTGTTTGCGATTTGCAGCTTTCTTGCTGGTTTCTGGCATTTATTTTTGGTTTCAGGCAAAAAATGCTCATTGGGAAAAACGAATCTGCTTAGCAACTGTGCATGTCAAAACCTGGATCCAATCAAGTGATGCCTCAACTAATGACTGCAATTCCATGCTCAATTATGGTCATAAATTGGGACTATCTGCACTGAAAAAATGAGCGTATTTTAAAAATTAGAATAATGCAACCCTTCGGGAGATGTTTAGCTCCTACTAGTTCTAATATGATGAAAAAATAATAATTTTTAGATAGACTTTTAAAGATTAATAATGTAATTTCAATTGTTTTTATTTCTAACCTTTTAACTAACTGGAGTGTTATATGCAACATAAAAATACAAAGAAGAAATAGCTCTTAGATGATGTTGCCAGTGAGCAAGACATGACACAATTTTACTCCTGCTTGCCAATATTTAGCTATGAATGATAAATAAGCTTCTGTGCTACTATAAATAACTAGCTCTTTGTACACCCATCTAAACCTATTCATTTAGGATGGCCAGCTCCCAAATTACTGATTTTAGAGCAGATTCAATAAAGTATTTATGTCTACCATATAAATCATGTACTGTAATGTAGAAATTATGTCTCAAAAGTATGAAAAAATAAACATGCAACATTTTATTAGATATTTTATATCTAATAACACCAGCTCAAAAATAAACAAAAAACAAAATTGTGAGACAGCAAGAAAAAGTACAGTAAAACTCAATTATAGAACTGGTGAGCTCAAGGTTTGTCACATGAACCTTAACAATGTTATGAGAAATAAAATCACATTGGCAATAAGAATTATAAATAAAATAGATCTGGGTGATTTGAAAATTCAAGTTGATGGAATCTTATTAGCTGCAACCAGGGATCTTTGTAGTAGAAGCAATATCGCAGAACATGCATTAATATTCAGGAACTCCATTATAGGGGCGAAGTCTGTATTCAAGTATACCACTACATAATTTCCCCCATGAACATCTGTTTGGAGGACATTAAAACTTGCCAGGATAGGGATCTTCTGACTTTGGGAATTATTACTTCGCTTAGGAAGCTTGGGGAAAATTGTGAATAACTGTCCAGGAACATATCTCTGGGTGTGATACACTGTTCAAGTCCTTGGTCTGTTGTTTAAAGATTGCCTCTGCCCACTGATATCCCATTATCAGGATTGCACTAAACTGCAGTTCTTCAACTTCTAATGCAATGTCCTTACCGCAAGATAAAATGAAGTTGTCACTTAAGATTAGAGTGTAAACTCCACATTGGAACAGAAGTAACTTTAGCCAAGAGAATATGCAAATTAAATATGGGTTTTAATTTTGTTCAAGCCCAGTCATAGAACAACACTACATTAGCAACTCATTATGGGGCTTGAAATATGTTCCTTAATAGTTTAAACTGTACCCTCTTTAAAATCTGAAGCACTGTACTGTTCCATTTGGGCTCTAAACAAAGGTTATGCCCATTTTCTGGCTGAGAATACTTTTAGTTGAGGCAAATTTGAACAATGCAATATTGTTCAAAGCAATAATGTAATAGTGATGTACCGGTAATAATTGTAATAAAAAGACTGTTGTTCCTATGCATTTTGGACAATATTCTCAATGTGTGCACTGCATTTACTAGATGCATGAAACTCTACCTTTATATACTCAGAGATTTGATCAGGTGTTTATTCAGTTGCTGGGGATGGATTTAGGGCACTTAATAAATATTAATACTTTAGTTTTAGCATAATTGATTTTGAGGGTTACTAAACTATGTTACACTATGTACAGGCAGAGCCTATAAAGCTTGCTTTAGACCAACTGGTGTTTGAGATAACAGCATAGTACCGTCAGTATATAAGAGGATTGCAATCCTGTCTGTCTTTCCATTTAGCGAGATGATGAGCTAGATTATTTACTTTAACTACAAGAGGATTGATACACAGATTAAACAGTATCAGTGCCAAGATACATCTTTGGGTGATTGTTCTGCTGACAGTAATTTCTTAGTGTAATGGCCCTGCATACTGTATCTAACTTTTAAACTGAAATTCTCACTAAGCTCATATAGAAACAGGAGCAGGTGCTCCTCTAAGAAAGTAGAGTTCTTAAATTTACAACATAATTTATGTCTACGGATAAGTTCAAAAATGAACTTGAAACTGATAAAAGCTGCACATTAGCATGAATAACATTATCTGAATTATTTCCCATAATCTCTGAAAACTAAGGGAATATATCTGCTTAGGCATGTCACCAATTTTTTCTCATCATAGTCTCTGAGATACACACAAGTTTCTTCCTTGAAAATTTGTCTAGTCAAAAATAACTAAATTGAGGCTAGACCTTACGAAAAGTTGTATCTCTCTAGCAGAGCACTTGGAGTAAAGTGCTGAATGAATGTGAGACCATTTAGGGGCTCAGCTAAGATCCTGTAGACAAATAAATTCCTATAGAAGAAGGAGGCTGTCATCACTTTATGGAGTAAGAATCAAGAAGGCAGTTTGGCCAGTTCACAGTAAAGCCTAATGGTTACAACTATCCATTTGAAGGTATTCTAATAGAAAAGATAACTCATAGAAAAGACTCTGAAAGATCAGAAGTAAATACTGAATAAATGTATTTCAAAAACAATTCCAAATATTTTAGTCCCATAATTAATTTCAAGATTATATGAAAGTCAATGGTTTATGAATTTTGAATAATTTCATATATTGGAAATATATTCTATAATCTGAGCATTAGCAGTAACATTGTAGATTTATCCAGTATTGTAATATTGTAGATTTATCCAGTATTGTAATGTAAAGGTATTCATGTCAGTAAATTTTCTCTATGATCACAGT